TTCTTTTTATCTTATTTTAATAAATCATTTTATTTTATTCGATATGATTTAATTTTTTATTTCGTTTCATATTATTTTATTTTTATTTCTTTTTATTTTACTTTTTTCTTTTTCTTTTTATTTTATATTTTTCTTATTTTTTATTTTAATTGTAAGTTTATTATTATTTCAATTTATTTGCTATGTTAATTTTGTTTTTTGTTTTTCGATTCATTTTATTTAATTATTGATGCAAGTTATCTTTTATTTTACAAATTAAATTTGTTTTGTGATTGTTTTAATATTGATTTTAAAATGGAAAGAAAAATATTGTTTATGTGATATCTTGGTACCGTTATCTGCCCAATACACGTAAATTAATCGTACATATGTTTTCCTGGTTTATTAATTCGCTACTTTTCTCATTTCGTAAGAAAAATATTTTTCTTTTCTCTCCATGATCAAAACCAAAAAAGTGATACTTTTTTATAATTTACAATGGCTGTGTCACCGTGTTTCCGCAGCAAACATCCTTATGATATTCCTGCAGTCTCTAATTTGCGCTGCGATTTCACTGCCACTAACAATTATTCACTCAACGCCGGAAAGTATGCAAACAATTTTATAATACATAATTTCGTTTCGACTTCGTCTTACCGAGCAAACATGTCTCTCTAATTACCTCCTCCCCACTTACTAGCTATTACTTGTGCACTCAAACTAATGTTCTAGTTGTACTTCACCTTCAATTTAATTATTTTACACTTCCCACTAGAACGAACAGCAGTACGCTATGCGCGATACGCGACGTTAAAACGCCAACACACAGGATGCAACAGTCAAACTAATTTATACGCTTCCGCTTTTCATTTGGGAGTTGTGTGGTTGTTGTTGTTGTATTGTATTATTCATTGTATACTGTTGATGATGATGTGTATGTGTGTTGGTGACTGTCGTTTGTGGCGCAACAAAACAAATTACTGCGGGTGGAAGAGTTAGTATGAGTAAAAATTAGATTTTCACTGATGCTTTTATTAATAGAGGAATGTTTCATGTGCAGGTATATATGTATGAATGAGTGTATGCGTATGTCAGGCGAGTTCTAAGTCTGGTGTGTGAAAGGTATCCAGCTGTTTGCAAGGGTTAGTTAGGTTAACTTGTGCTTTTATGTAGTTTTGTGGCTTTCGACGCAACTCGCAAAATGTTTACAAACCGCAAGTTGTTTTTTGTTTGTTTGTGTTTTTTTGTTGCATGCAATGCATTTATTGCTGCGGCCTAGTGTATAAATTTAGCATTGGAACATATATATGTATTTATGTATGTGCGTGGATGCATGAAAATGTGATAAAATTTTCTAAATTGCGCGCTCCGCTATGTCTCCTGGTAAAAATATACACGTACATGGCATGCATGCAATACTATTTTTAGGCTGTCAGCTGAGGCTTCAGTGGAGTGCTGCTGCTATGTACTGGTGCATACTTCAAGGCGCCAGTACTGTGTGCACATTTTGCATATATTTGCATCGTTAACAGTTATAAAAGCTTCTCCTTTTTGCTAGGCTAGCATGACACGTGACATTGTTGGTGGCGTTAAATTATTTAATCTAGTTGTTGCTGCACGCATTAGACACTACTTGAATGTTGTGTGTATTTATTTAACACTTTGGCACAGCAGTGCAGTTTGATGTAATTTGCATACGAAAATTGTACAAAATGTTTTTTGATGACATCATTTAGTCATGACCAATGTAGTTGTCGGCTCTAAAAGCAAGTATAGCACGCATATGTATTTGTACAATTTAAAGGGTCACCTCAATTAAAATGTTCACGATTTTTTATTTTCACTTTGGTCATTTTTTATTCATTTTTTTTTTAATTTTATTTCTTAAATTCTTATCTACGCAGATATTTAATTGTTTTTTATTTTTTTTTAATTCCTTTTCATTATATTAATTTTTTTTAAATACTAGTTATATTTTTATTTCTTTAAATATTAATTTTGTTTTTATTTAATTTTTATTACATGTATTTGCTGTTTTTTTTTCCTAAAATTGTATGTCTTCTTTTTATATTTATAATTCACTTTTTATCTTTTAAATTTTTCCATTATTTTATTAATTTCTATGTCAATTTTTCTTCTAATCTTCAAGGCTAAATACACATTCTTAAAGTGTCAGACATTTTTTTTTACATTTAAGTTAGAAAAGTCTTCGGCTGTGTATGGCAATTTGAGGCATAGAAAATTCATATATTACCCGGTAATACAAATACAAATAAAGAAAGAGTTACTGTATCACTCACGCGATCCTCCATTTCATGCACGAACGAGCTTACCAAATTACACATGCATACATATTTACATGCCGACTAACAGCCGACCGCCGCCGGGTACGTGCCAACGGGCTGCCCGCGTGCATTTCCTGTTTTATTTGTCGAGCCTCCATTTGTACGTCACAACTAGAATGTGTAAAAACATGTGTAAATATGTATGGTTTATATGCACTATGCATACGGAGTGAACATACACACATCGGTATATTAGTTAACTCGCTGTAGCACAAATTCCACAATATTTGTTCTTTTTTGGTGAAATTCATTGCTTGTTTTTTGACAGTTACATGTGCAATGCATATGTGACATTTGTTGACAGTTGCAAAGCCACTGTTGTTGCCGGCTGTTATTCACATTGTGGAAACCCCAAGTAAACTGTTGTCACGCATATTGAATTTGTTGTTTAATTTTGCTAGTTTTTTTTCTCCTTGCGCTACAATGTTTAATCAATAATATGTAGGAGGTATGAATGAGTATGAGAAGGAGTGTAGTGTAATGTCAGGACAAGCAAGGTATAATGTTACCAGCTATGCGTTGAAGTAACCAAGCGTTTTGTTTGATTGCATGATGTAGATACTGTTTTAGAAAAAAAATTGTTTTTTTGCTAAGTATTTTTTCTGTTTTTTTTTTTTCTGCAAGACGATTATGATAGTAAGTAACGCAATTTGTTCTTGATTTTTTTTCATACTTTCATTTTTTAGTACATGTTACCTGTACTCTTTCATGCTAAGCTTACTCGAAACAATTCTTACGATTTTTTCGTTTTTTATTGTTATTATTTGATCCATTTTTTTCATCCACCTGCGCCTGTACAATTTATTGCCTCCCTTAAGGTTTAGACTTGTCTAGAACAATTCGCTGTTAATCGATAATTACTTTGTTTAACAAGTTCATTTATTTGTTTGCATTTACTTACCCACTTCACTTGACCTAAATTTATTTGTGTCGTAAATATAACATTAGATATTTTAATAAGTTGTAATACTATTCTATATTATGTAATTTATAAACTAAACATTTACGATTTCGATTTTTTCCTTTTATTATTCATTTTATTTACCTATTTATTACTATATTTTCTTATTTGTTATTTTTTCTTAGCTATTATATTTTCTTATTTGTTATTTTTTCTTAGCTATTATATTTTCTCGTTTGTTATTATTTTTTCTTGTTTATTATTATAATTTTTATTTATTATTGTTTGTTACATTATTTATTTTATTTTTTATGATCCCTTACTATTCAAATATTTCCTGCTACTTTTATTAATTTCTTCTCCTAAATTTTGTTTACTGATATTTATTAAAAAATAAGTTTGTCTTGTCCATTTCATTTTGTCTACCGCTTCGAAAAGTTTCAATTTAAATATAAATTATGGATTGTTCTGCTTTGAAGAGAATTGTGCAAAATTTTAATAAAATAATCCTTATGATTAACAAAGAATATTAATTCGCCGTCTTTTTATTTAAACACCTCAAAACCCCATTGACAATTGTCAAGCGATCGCTTCTTGCAAGTTTGAATACCATTGGTTTGTTATTTCCCTGTTAAATATTGTCCAGGGTTGTTTTTCCACTTCCTGACATTACGTCAATAAATCTAATTATAAATTAGTTTATTCCTATTATCGATTTTTCTGGTAAAGAACGAAAATAAATCTCCACCGAAAAACTGCTTAAAACTTATTTATTTTCATAAATAACAGAATTTTGTCTAATTATCTTATTAAGTTGCCAGTGACAACAGAGCATATTGCTATATTTAGAATGGGAAATTTCCTAGGCTATTTGTTACATCTACATATCTACAAACTATGTTACTGCATTGTTACATATTCCTTGCCTGATAAACCAAATACTTTTAGACTCGCCACAGCTTAGTAGCCTATAACAAAGGACTGACAATGACCTTTATGTATGCGTGTATGCCAGTTTTTAAATTGTCGTATAACTGGCGTTGTTGTTGTTGGCTTGCAGCTTGTTGACTATTTTTATAATATACTTTACTTGCCCATGTCAATATTAAGCATGGACGCAGGAATATATATTTAGATGCAAGTATAAAGTACATATGAATGTATGTATGTATGTATGTGTATATGTTTTTGCATACTACATTCGCCAATGAATTTTTTTCGATAAGCATTTATTTTTATATACTTCCTTTGTCGTTCCTTCGCACCGGCCATTCATTCATTCACTTGCTGCGTTGGCGCTGCTGGGTCAGTGGGCTTTTATTTTCCGTGCATCATGATGCTTTCGTTTTAATTTTTTTTTTTACATTGCTTTTATTTTGTATTTTTATTTCATTCCGCATTCACATTGAAATTGCGGGAAAATGCAATTTTATGCTTAAATGGTGTAGAAATGACGTGTACGCCGCTAGCTCTCTAACTGTTGTGACTTGTCATAAGTGCCGTGAAGGGCACGAGCAGCAGCAGCGATGCTTTGCTTTATGCATTTATGGGTATAAATATATTTATTTATTGCATACATGAGCGCAATGTCAATATGCATATAAATTGTTTTTTTTTTTTTTTTAATTTCATGTGCTCATGTATGCCCCCTAATTTTAAAAGTTATAGGTATAATATAATTTAATTTATTTGACAAATATTTTCAGGTTACATACCAATCATTTAACGAACGAATTATAATAATAGTATTTATCTTTTTCTTTTTATAATTTCAGGATATCGCCGCCTATATTAAGAAAGAATTCGACAAAAAATACAATCCCACATGGCATTGTATTGTTGGCCGAAACTTCGGATCATATGTCACACATGAGACCCGTCACTTTATTTACTTTTATTTAGGTCAAGTGGCAATTTTATTATTTAAGAGCGGTTAAAAATAATCACTAATAGCTACAACAACAAAAACAACAACAAATACCACAAAAACACATATATACATCATATACACTTGGAAAGCAACAACACGGCAGCAGAATTTATAGTAAAAAATAACCTAAATTTGAATGATTAAAATAAACGAAGAAAAAATTGCAAACCCTAAAATTATCATACTACAAAAACAATAACAACAAAATAATAGTTAGCAGTCCACAATATTGTCACAGCAAATCAGAAAATCATATGGAAAACAGTTGAATGAAGCAGTGCGCGCCTAAATGCAGTGAAAATGTTGGGAGATATGTATTTAAAAAAGGATAATAGAAAAAAAAACGTTTCAGCACAGCCAAGAATATGTAATGTTTAAAAAGTGCGAACCAAAATATTTGGTTGACTTGTCACTGTTACTTGGCAAGCGTTCAGAAATGGATATTTTATTTATTAAAAATCAAAAGTTAATGTTTTCTGATGACGCGCAACACTTATTATCCTTGTTCGAACACTAAATTGGGCATTGTGAGTTGTGGAACGTGAGCAGTGATTCGTTAAATTTTATGTTTTCTCTTTGAAAATGCATAATCATATTTCGTCTTTATAACCTAAGTTGATCCTGTGGCATACAATTATAGTGCTTAATACCAACCACTACTCCAGCGCACCTATCTACGCTTATCAAACCGTCAATTCAACTGAAAGGAATCGCAAACGTGCATTTAACGGCAGAAAAAGACTCAAATGAACAACTGCACTGCAGAAACTTAGCTATTCAAGGACTTGATGATCACACAGCTACATCAAAAAATTCACTTCTACTATGTGCACAATACAACACCACCAACAAAATAACAACTCACACGAACAAAAAGAAAAAAATGAAAACACTTGTTGTAAGGGATAAATTCGCAGATTCAGTAATATGCAGAAAATAGTAGAAAATAGCTAAATATAAAGAAAACATAAAACAAATCTCAAATGGAATCATGGAAATCTTAACATTTTATGCGTATTTGTATTAGTAATATCAGCAAGCAACAACAGCAAATTATATATATACACTCATATATATTTGTTAGTTTAAGTAAAATCGATGAATAAAAAAATTAAATATTTCAAATTACGTACACAACCGCAACAAACACATACGAATGCAAAACCAATAACTCATGATGAATGGCGTGGCTGTAGAAAGAGAGTAAAACAATATGGGCTAAGACTTGAAAAGAAAAATATATAAATTGTATGCAAAAGAAAAAAATTAGAAAATTGTAAAAGACAACTAAATATTTCCATCCACAATTAAAATTGAGAAAACAATTTGGAGGCGATTAGAACACTAATGCAGAAGGGGGTACGCAGTAATTTTTGATAAGCCAACTTAGAAGAGAGTTGTGCGTTGAAAAGATAGAACTGAATGGTGGTATATTTTGCTGCGCATACACAACAACAACTACGACAACAAGCTTGGAACTTACAGAAAATCTGCAAAAACCAAACGCTAGAAGAAAGATTTATGTGAGAACGCATACCATAGCAATAAAAATAACGTGAAGATATGAAAAGTTGGTTACAAACAACAAAATGCAAAAGAGGAGAGGAGAAGTAGTAAGAGAAGCAAAGCAATGCGCTGTTGGTGGCGGCAGCCTGAAGCAGTTTTTGGAGCAGCTTTGAGGTTGCAGCAGCAGCAAGTAAAAAATAACAGCAGCGTTATGTTATGCATACCATACACTAGGCTAATATATCTATATTCGAATTAATGATAAATATTTTCTTCTTTAAAACACTTCTGTATACATATATTTCTTTTGTGTTAAATAAATTGCAAATGGTTTTGATTTTTTCTGATTTGTAAAATGAAAAAAAAAAAATTATTATTTTATGAGTGGACAAGAAAGAGAAACAAAAACAAAATTATCTATTTTAAAATTTCTTAAATATGTAGCTTAATTTTTTTATTAAAGGTCATTTTGCAATTTATTCAATAAACCAGTGGAACTACTGTGAGGGTATTTTTTTTGAACATTTTCCTGCTATGGATATTGATAAAAAAATATGTGTTCAAAGAATAAATAAAATTTTTGTTTAAAAAATTTAATTTTCTTGTGTTCGTTTATTTATGGAGAATAGCGCAAATGAATATTTTAGTATAGAAAAATAGCTGATAAGTCGGCTTGGGTTATTCATTGTTATTTTTTTTTTTGTTTTTTAATTTTTGTACCCATTTATTAATTTGAGTGTTTTATACTAATTTTCCTCTCAGTATTTTTTAAAATTTATTTCATTACTTTTTCAGTTATTTACTTGAAATAAATTTGGTTTTTTTGTTTCCATTTTAATTCGTTTATTAATTTTATAATTTTTTTCACATAATATTTTTTATTTAGTTATATATAATTTATACTTTTGAATTTTTGAATTAATTAAATTGCTTTTGGTTTTTTAATTATTTTATTTTATTTTTTATTATTGAATATTTCAATTCATTTTTTCTTGTCATTTTTAATTTTTAGTTTTTCTTATTTTATTTTAATTTCTTTTTTATTTACTTTGTTTTTTATTTTATTTTATTACATTATTTATATTATTTAATTTTTCATTTATTTTATTTTTCATTTAGTTTATTTTGTTCTTATATTTCGTTTCTTTTTGTAATTTTATTTTTTGTTTTTATTTTTTTTTTTATTTTTTTTTTTAATTTTATTATTTGTTTTTATTTTTTTTTTAATTTTATTATTTGTTTTTATTTTTTTTAATTTTATTATTTGTTTTTTAAACTTTTTTCATTTATTTAATTCGATTTTAAACAATTTTTTTTTTAATTTTTTTTTTTAAATATTTTTTTAAAATTTTTTAAAAAATTTTTTTTTTTAATTTTTTATATTTTTTATATATTTTTTTAATTTAATTGTTTTTTAATTTAATTTAATTTATTTTCGCTTATTTTATATATTTCCCACTGAAATTCGTTGCTTAATAAAAGGTTACATTCAAATATTATATTATAAAGTCCAATTGTTTGGTAGTTTGCTGTAATTTGCACTAAAAGATTTTCGTATAAAACTCCGAGGAAGCTAATAAGTTTTGTGTGCGTTATTTTAAATATTTAAAAATTGAAAATATGTTTTACAAAACGGATATTTGCAATATTTAAAGAGTTCACTTCAAAGAACATTTAATGCAAATTTCTTTTTCATTCTATTTGTGCATTTCTGCTGTTGTAGATGTGTTTTTTTTTTCATAAAAATTTAGCAAAACATTTTCTTTTAATATAAAGTTTTATATTAAAAACTATTCGAAAATACCGCGATTAGATTTCTTGGTGTAAATTATATAAAACCACCAGAAAATTAAGAAAAGTCGGTTCAAATTTGATGTTTTGACGATTTCGCAAAATTAACTTAAATGTTTATTAATTTCCAAAATTTTGAAATACTGATGAATACTGTATGTATTTATTTAATGCTAATAGAAATATGCAAGTCAGCATTAATGTAATTTTTGCACATACACCCACACAAACCGCCATTTTCCCAAGCGTTGATAACAAAAAAAAAATGAAAAAAAACATATTTTATAAGATGGTAACCTTCCTTTTTCCTGTTCTTTAATTGTAGTATAAAATTTATGAAATATATTAATTAACAAATGGAATCACATACACACATCCATACACATTTAGCTTTCTACCTAAAATTCTTTTCACGTATTGCTAAAAATACAAGAGGAGAAGCAAAACAAACAAAAATATATTTAAAAAAATATTTAACAAAAAAAAAACTTCGTAGTATAATTAAATATACATTTTATGTAAATGTTTATAAATTATAAATGAGAATAAAATAAAAATGCGATAAAATAAGATCTAAAACCAAACAATATAACATCTTTCATTTCTTTTTGCTATGTGTTGTCGTACTCACTCTTCTTTCTGCGCTGTTTCTTTTTTTTTATAAAGAATAAAACTTCTTCTATTCTTCCAACAAATTCTAACTATGATAAAAATACACGTATCTATAAAAAATTTCTAAGCATGTCCAGGCCTTTTCAATGCCAATGCTACATTTCTTCCTTCATATAAAAATGTAGTGCTGCGTTTGATAAAAGAAAATAACAAATATATAAAATTATTACTAGCTCTATTGAACAATTTTATTAAGCGGCTAATATTTTTATTAACAATTTTTGTGTATTTAAAATAATTATTATGTCAAAGAAACAAACAAAAAACTCATTACCAAACTCAGCCAATAAAAATAATATACATATGTAATAAATAATGCCATATGCATCAATTCGAGGGAAATTTTACTAAAAAGTAATTTTATGTTAATGTAAACGAATTAATAAACTATAAATAAATAATAGATAATAGAAAATTCCCTTGTGTATTCTTTAGCAATTGATTTCCAGACATATGGATATTACTGGAAAAGTGGAATATTTTTCGTCCATTTTGGTGACCAGTTCCGTAGGTTCTTTTAAGCTCTTAATTTGAGTTAAAATTTTGCAGGTTAGGAATGTAGAGCGATGAATCTTTCAAGCAATAGAAGAGTAACCGAGCAGTTCGAAGTGCGAATTTCGTTTGCAATATCCTTGCACCATTGTTTGCAGTTTTTTCCAATTACATTATACATAGAAGCATTGTTGCTCTCGCGGCTACAATTTCTTAGGGCTTCCGCCAGCAGCTTATTTCCCGTTATATAAGCTACAAAATAATTTGTTTCAACTCTTTGTATTTTTGCCGATTTTTTTCTAAATTATTTTTACTTTAATAAGTTTAAATAATAATCGAACGTGTGTGTTGAAGAAACCGGAAATGTCACACAAGTGAGCTGCCAACGTACCTGATTCAGTAAATAAAATTAATGTATTTCCCAGTATGCAAAAAACCTAAAATCACAATATTTGGTTTGAGAATAATTTCGCAAATGTTTACATTTAATAGATTATATTTTAATTTCATAATTTAGTTTAGTTTTTTTATTTAAAAAAAAAAAGCGAGCTGTGTTTCATATCACTAGCAGTCTCACACCCGTGCAACACTGTGTTCAACCCAACAGCTGATTGCAAACGTCAATGGAAATAAACAAAAATATTTGTGGTGAAGAATTAATAAATTTCATATTTTTCTCAATTTGTGTATATATTTTCAAATAAAATTAGTGAAATTACAGTGTTTGTTTTAGTAAAATGGGTTTCCCACGTATATTAAGTAAAAATAATAAAATTTACACAAAATTGGGTGAATTTTGTCTGTCAGGCGATGCAAGCTTCTGGATTGTTTGCCAAGTGTGCCAAGAAGAGTTACAGACACAAGATCAATTTTGGAAACACATACAAGATGAGCACAACTTTATGCACGGTTTGGGTTTCAAACAGGTGAGTTGTCTATGGGCTTTACATTTATTACAGACCCCAAAATATTAACAATAAATATGGTTTTCTCAAACAAAAAAAATAAACACAAACATAGGAACAAACGCGTAATTATATGGAGCCCGAGGCGGCAGCAACACACATTATGCCTTTGCCATTATATCGTAAAGTTAATGAAGAAGAACTACGCTCAAGTGGAGCACTTGAGCATGGCGATAATTCGCAAGAGAAACAAGAACCAAAAGATTATACAGAAATGCGCGCCATTGAGCCGAATGCAGTAGAAATTGACATAAAAGTTGAACCGCCTAGTATTAGGCATGCACTGGCATTGGCACCGCCACCGCCAGTTACACACGCTGTACATAGCGGCGGTGGTAGTGGTGGTGTTGTTGCTACAGGCGGTGGGGTTGTTGGTATTAGTGGTGGCGGCGGCGGCGTTGCACATCCAAACGTTGAGGTGAGCACAGCTGCACCAGCCTTATATCAACTGCCACAAGTGACACCAACAGTTAGTTCATATGGTACCACAATTATGCATAGTGCAACACCAACACTAACACATACAATGGGTATGCCGAATGCAGTAGCGGCTGCGGCATTAATGGCACAGGATATGCCAAAAGAATCGAATAGCACAACGGCGAGCGCCAGTAGTGCAATGTCATCCGAGGATGGCGAACGCTGGTACATATGCGACTACGAGACCTGCGGCTTAAAGTTCAAATATCAATCACGATTAGAATTGCATCGAGCAGTGCATAGCAAAGAACGGCGTTTTGCTTGTGAATTGTGTGGCGCTTCATTCAAACAATCGTGTAATCTGTCAACACATCGTAAAAAGAAACATTTTCTTAAAGGTTCGAAAGGATTAGTGCCGCAGCGTTTTTAAAACGTTAAACGTAACAATACAAATTGATTTTAAGATATCTTTTGTTTCATATTTGTTTTTACTTCTTCTAATTTCTTGTAATTTCAGCGTCAGTTGCAATATAAATTTTTTTTAGTATCAATAACAAAAAAACTAGTGTAGTTTATAAGAAAAACTTAGTTAGTTTTGTTTAAGATTATGTTAAACACTTGGCAATGACAAAGTGAGTGAAATTGAAAAAATATATAGCAAATTAATTATTCTTAAAATTTGTGCAAGTTCAAGTTTAGTCTTAAGCAAAATTGTTTTATTTTTCTGCTAGCATTAAGCTATTTCTTTTGAAATACATATTTACATAAATATATATATTTACAAAAATATATATACTTTTTCTATAGTGTAATACATATTTTACATTATTAGATGCATGTGCAGTTAATATTGCAAAATATTTATGTTTGATTGTAAATAAATCAAACGCGAGATGGTACAATTAATATGTTTTTAAGATTTTAGTGAATAATAAATTCATTTTGCCCCGATTCAGTACAAAAATAAAAATTTATGCTTTTTTTTCTTTTTGTAACACCAGGTAAGGGAGCATTCAATATAAATATCCAGTTGGCACAATTATTACTATCTCTGTAAATAAATATGAGTTGAGTCTTGTTCATCAAGTAAAAAAGATGCATACATTTTTAAAACATATATATTTAATGCAAGAGATTTTCGGTATATAAAAATATAAATATTTAGATATATGAATATATTAACATACATATTTGTTATGTAATTTTATCTTACATATTCGTACTATTATATAATTTTAATCAACTTGATAATTTTTTTGTATGGAATGTTTAATATAGCGTAGAGAAATGGCTGTTTGCATAATTTTCTGATTGCTTCTCCGCTGGGCAGAGTATTTTGTAACTTAATTTTATCACTTGAGATCCCAAAGTAAGTGTCTAAATATTTATAAATTGTTTACGTGTACGTATAAGTATGGAATGGTTAATTAAATTCGAGATATAGTCTTTTTTAAAATAAATTATGTCATTAATACTTTTTAGTAGTAGTAAAGTATAGTAAGTCAAAACTTTATTGAAGTATAAAACATCCTTTTTCATCCACTGAAAACTTCTTCAAATACCGAATCAACGCTATCATTACTTTCTGTCTCATTACGCATGCGTTTATGTTGACAATCTTGTTCGCTTGTTGTTGTCCCATTGCATAGGAAATCGGAGCTATTATTTCCCACACAACTGCCATCCGCTTTGTGTAATTGCTTACGTTTTAAACGTTCATGTGCTTTATTAAAGTATGCCATATTGCGATCTTTGAAAAAATTAAGCGTCTGCTCAGGAAATTTTTCACGAAAAACACCTGAAGAAATACATATATGTATTAAAGACAAACTTTTGTACTACATATTCCATTTTTATGTGAATACCTTGAAACACATCCAACATAGTCATATCCTTGATTGGGTATTTAATAACTTTATCTGCATTTACAACACCACGCCAACAAAACTGATTGGTTACTTCATCGGTCATTATAAAACGCCAAAGCACACGACAGAAGACATCAGCACTTTCGGTAGCTATAGCGAGTGTTTCTTCGTGCTGTGGAAGAAAGATGAGAAACTCTAATACAATATTTGTAACACTCGTATGTAAATATCACCACATACCAACGCATCACGCATTTCCTTGCTGTGATGCAGTTCGTCATCCAAAATAAGCACTTCATCGCGACTAGTAAATGGTTGATCGGGTATTATTTTCATATATCGTTTAACCATACGTTGACCCGGCTCCTTTTTCAATTCGCTTTCAATTAGTTGCACAGCCTGTGTGAGTTTATTGAGCTTGTATTTAAATTCATTATTTGCACGTTGAATTTGTTGGAAAAGGCTTTTCAACAGTATACCACTCTCCAAAAATTGTTTAGGTGCGAGTTTATCAATATCCAATTGAGTTTTTAATGTGTCACTCAAGCGTTGTGTGTGTAGCTCTATTTCCGGTTGACTACTCTCAACTGCAGATTAGACATTTTATAACCTTTTTCTTACATATGTACATATTTTTTAAATAATGATAACTTACTCTCGACGGGTTCATCGCCTTTTGTGTCAGTTGACTTCGCTGTACAAAGCTTATTTTCATTAAAATTTGTAAACTTATTCTTTAACTCTATAAATGCATTGGACTCATTGAGCACAATACCTTGCATATATTCAGCGTCTACATACATTGGTTCATCATTTGTTGAGTTGAAAATAGCACTAATATCACTAGCAGGCGTTGGCTTTTGCTGCATTAAACAAAGCTGTGCTGGCGCATAGTCATGCATTTCTTTAATGTGTGTCCAGAAATTTTTCTCATTATCATGCTGCTCCTGACAAAAACAACAAATGATACAGCATAGATTTGGTTCCGCTTCTGTTATACAATAATCGCCAAATTTTTGATAGATTTTATTATTCTGACCTAGTATGCGTGTAATATTCATGCTAATTGGAATGGTGACACCGGTTATTTGCTGGTGTAGCGCTGAAGTGGAGTCCGTGGTAGTGTACTATTGTTTCTGTTGCTTTGTAGTTAAATTGTGTTTTATTTTATTTATTGGCACTGATTTTTGTGCAAAAATTATAAAAATAGTGCAAGCAAATCTTTGAAAACAAATTTTGTTGAGGAACACAAAAAATTTGGCATATCAAATTGCATAGCCGTATTTATTATACAGCGTTGTATTAGTGATAAGGAAATTACGAAGAAGCAGCAACAGTTTGAAAACCATTTTACGTTTGGTATACTTTGAGTGTCTCAATTTGGCTTGTTTATTCGATAGTCTGGTAATTTTTAATATAAAGGCAGTTTAATATAAAATGTTTGTTTCTTGCTTTTTTTGCTTTGACTATTAAAAATAATTTCAATAATTTTAGTTAATTTTAATTTTTTTATTTTGGTATTGAATTGAAGTGATGTAATTAACGGTATTTGAATTTTAAGATTTTGTTACTTATTATTTTTGAACGATATATATATATATATATATATATGAATATTAGATTTAGAAAAATGAAAAATTTTGAACTTAAGCTTTCAAATCTACTGGGTAAATGTATAAATCTATAAAAATCACTACAATATATTGCCAATAATATATAAAAATTAAATTTTATTAGTTTTAGTATTCACAAAAAATAAAAGGAAATGCTTATTTTTTACAAATAAAAAAAACTTTACACCAAAATTTTTTTTACATATTGAGCTATATGCAAAACGCCAAAACGCTCAGATGCTACATGTAAATTTTCACCATTAACCACATTTGAATTTATATGAGGATTGTGTAACTCGGTGATTAGTGTGCTGCAGGCAGCAGCTGGATCGCCAGAGCCACTTAGGGAGCCCTAAGAAAAAAATGAAATAAAATAAATACATATATGTATATAAATACCATGTAAAAAAAATCTTATGCAATACTCACCAACCAAAATTCATTGCCCGGCAATGCGTTACCATCCCAAGCATACGACTCGACAATAAGCATATTTTCAAATTCTTCGGGCTATAAGTGGAAAAATTATTGATATATACAAATTTATAGGTAAAACATTCAAGTTTTTACTCACCAATTTCTCTGCTGGATTGCGATTACTAAACAATATTTTAATACCACCTTTGACATGTGTTCCCGCTGCTAGCATAGCGCCATCGCTAAGCACACCACAGGCAGTTTCGTGAAAGTGTGAGAAATGCACCACACCCACGCTCGATAGATGTGGCATTAGTTCCAATAAACGTTCACCAAAGACTTTTAGAAATATTTTATATTGATGTTGCACGGCACGCCAAACGCCCAAACCGAAACCGACAACATGTAGATATACCTGCTTGCCAGTGGCGGCACCACGAGCATTCGCCTCTAGCAGTAGGGTGTCAAAGGAGATAGCGTAACGCTTCTTCATCAGCACATTATCGAATATGAACTCGGTTTGCGGTACTTTGTGGTAGCGTGGTGAATCTATTTCGCATATTTTATCGTAAAGTTTATCCGACTCATCGTAGAAATTTGACCATACTTGGCGATAGTCAACTATATGATTGTTTGCGACTTCAGCTTCGTCCACCGTATAGCCGTAACCATGAGCTTTTGTATTTTGTGTGGGTGTTATCATGATATCCTGCCACTCCATAACATCGACTGACTCAAAACGACCACCAATCATGCCAATGACAATACCGCTGGGTTCAATTTTCGATGGATCCTCTTCAATGATGCCGGCATTGAAACGATTGCCATCATTAAGGAACTCGGTATGTGATGAGACGGAGAGAAAAGCTGAAAGCTGGCAGAGATCATCAGTACTAGCACAATAATAGTGTATTGGGGAGTACATAAATGATATATAGGAAACAGATAGTCGCGAGGATTTCTAAAATATTACTCACTTTTATCTCATCATAGCTTAGAACATTCATCAATTTTAAAGGCCTACGCTCAGCCGCTGTGCCGACATCATGAAAACCACCAAAACCTTTTTCGCCATTTAACAGTAAATAGTTATCTGATGGTCCAATAAAGGCGACACAACGTTTCTCCAACAAACGTTGTACCAAAGCTGGAAGGGGCATATCTTTGTAGACGGCGCATTCGATTTCGTTGCCTAAGAAGTGCAAAAAAAAAATTTAATTGAGAAGAAGTGACAGTTAAAAGATAAGAGGATAAGAGATTTGGTCAGAGAAAATATTAGTATAAGGGAAGAGTATTCACGGCATAGCCTGCGGGTAGGGGTTCAAGAATATTTTCGCTATATTTTCTCCTTGGTCTTTGCCAAAACCTGCTCAAAAACAAATTTGCAAAATATTTTTGTGTTTACAACAACAATATGACACTCAGAGCAACACATGCTTTAAGGTTAAGATAATTTTATGTTTTAAATCGCCAAGACAATTAAAAAAAAAATTAAATATTATTTTGTTTAGTACACAAAACATTTATTTACAGTTAAAATGTGCTATTAAATATTTAAAAAATATTGCACAATAAATTTTAAATATAAAAATGTGTATGGATTTAAAAGAACAAAATCTTTTAATTTTTTTTTGTTTTGTGACAATTTTTGTCAATTATTTCTAATGTTCGCATAATCGTTCCAAAAACTGTTAAGGCCTTTCCAAGTAGTCTCCGGTTCATTCTAAACTTTTCTTGACATAATCCGTAATATGTAAAATACCATATTGTTCTGATGCAATATGCAAGTTTGCGCCATTCACCAGCTCGGTGTTGATATGAGGATTATGTATTTCCGTAATGAGCGTACTGCATGCCGTAGAAGAGTCGCCAGTGGATTTTAACATTTTCTGAAAGAAAGAAAACATTTCAAAAACACATTCAAAGTATAAAAGGTGAATATGTGTCTATGTATCTACCATCCAAAACTCATTGCCAGGTAATGCATTACCGTCCCAGGCATAAGAGACGATAAGCAGCATATTTTCCAATTCAGGTGATTTCTGTGTGGTAAGAAAATACGGTTTAGAAATTTAGAGAGATCAGTACAGCTAATTTTTTTATGCAGCTTTTGTATATGTATTAGTAATGTGAAAAGTTAACAACTTAATCAAGAAAAGCGTACTACAAACCTACAATCCACAAACCACCAATCAAAGGACAAACCCCCTCCGTTCAAACTGCCTCAACCAAGAGTTGAATAAAAAGAAAATATTTTTTACCATATTCGTGCTCACCAACTTATCGGCGGGATTACGCTTCGATAAAAATGTACGTATACCGCCATCGGGATGTGTTTCGCTTTTAATGATGCCACCATGTTTCAGATCGCCCCATGCGTTGAGTTTAAACCACGAAAAGTGTACTACGCCTATATGCGTCAGCTTTGGCAATAAGACTTTCAGGCGTTGCGCAAAAGTTTCTAAAAAGATTTTCTCTTGCTGCTCAGCCGCACGCCAAACACCTAAGCCGATGCCGACAACATGAATGTACGCCTGCTTGCCTGCGGCTGCTGCGCGTGCTTCACTCTCCAGCAGCAGTGTATCGAAAGATATCGTATAACGTTTCTTCATCAACACATTATCGAATATATCATCTTTTGCACGTGCATTATCAAAACGTTTGCCGTCGCGCTGCACTTGTGCATACAAATAATCACGCTCTTCATAGAATTCCTTCCAAACGCGTCTATAATCAGTCGGCTGTGTATTAGCCTCAGCTTCGATGGGTAAGCCATAACCATTTTCTTTGGTATTTTGTTTCTTGGCAATTATGATGTCTTGAAATTCCATAACATCGCGTCGCACAAGACGTGCACCAATTAGACCGATTATGACACCATCCGTCTCAATGAGCGATTTATTTTTCTCGATAACGCCACAATTCTGACGATTACCGTCATTGAGGAACTCCGTGTGTGAGGAGACGGAAAGAAATGCGGAGAGCTGTTAATGAGTGTATGATAATTGATTATTTTACAAGATGTTATATGGACTTACCTTGATTTCATCATAACAGAGCACATCTTGCAGTAGTAGTGGCGGTTTTTCGGCATCTGTGCCAATATCGAGGAATCCACTGCAGCCACGATGACGTGACAATAAAAGATATTTATCATTTTTGCCAAAGAAACTAACACAACGCTTCGCTAGGAGGCGTTGTACAAAATCGGTGAGCGTTAAATTTTGGTAAAGCTCAAGTTCGCGTTTATTGCCTGTAAGTCATTTAAATATGAACATTTGTTTGTGACATTATGTATGTATGTACATACGAGTATATACCATACTGTTATCAAACTAAGAAAGCCTATGCTAGATTCATTATCAGTACTGACAGAGGCATAGCTATATGAATAGCTACATACATATATGTATGCACATATGTATATGTATGTATTTAGTTATCTGTAACTCCTTTTGTGAGCGCAAAAGGTACTAATGCTAAAGTTAACCGGTTTACATACAATTGCGAAATGTCAATATTGGGTATTTATGTATAAATGTGCTACTTGCAAGCCGTGTATTTACCTACCGTATTTGCATTTGTGTTCCAAAAATGCCAGATACAATCCCAAAACGCGTTCATGTATTACTGGATAGGCAGAAGCGATTTGTTTTTGAATTTCCGGATAACGCTGCTTGGGTTGACTTATTATGCGACACGTATTGGTACCGAACTGTAATAAGAAAGTTTTTACACTTTTTGAATGCTCAATTGGATTTCACAACTTACCTCCACAGGAAAATTGGACGATTTCTTGATGAAACTTTCAACGTCAATATGCTTAATATCCGGCTTTTCCACTTTTAAACATTTTTGTAATAACTTTTTACCAAAATCGCTTAATTTCACAGTAGACCCGGCTTTTGGCCATATCTGTTCAAATTCTGCGCCGAATGTTGACATGTTTAATGAAGTTCTAATATTTCTGTTGTTGTTGGTATGAAAATTAATTGTGTTGTTTTATAGAATTTTTTGTTTAGATTTGGTGTTAATGTGACGTTGAATGCTTTGATATTAATTTTTCCTATTAACAATTCAGCTTTTGTGTCGTTGTATGCTTTTACATGTAACACTGTAATGCTTTCTTATTAATGCTTTACTACTTACAACATGTACGTTCGCAAGCCGACTGAGCATTTGCCATGCATTTAAGCCAATTTATTGACCTCTGCATGAAAAAATTGCAGAGAATTTGTTATTTCACAATGGGTTTGACCCACACCTTTTCACTCTCATTTAACTTTTTCTTTTATAACGCCAAATTCATTGCTTACTTGTTTTGCTAGCCACTTCCTTTGTGCGGGGGAAACGGAAAGTGGGTCATGAAAGTAGTTTGTAAATTTCGGTATGTAAACTTCTACCAGCTGATGAAATTCGCCATTGAAATATACCAAACAGAGCTGACAGCACAGCTGTTCGGTCGCGTTGCCAACTAGGGAAATTCAGATTCAGAAGATGTAAAAAATGAAAGTTGAAGTGAAAACAAGAAAGAATTTCCGGTTGTTATTTTTATAATATTTTAATTGATGTAAAAAACTGGTTTAGAATAAATAAGTTTAAGTATAAATTTTCAAAATTTTCTTAGCATAATCCGCTATATGTAAAACCCCAAAACGGCTCGACGCAATGTGTAAATTTTCGCCATTCACTGACTCTGTATTTATATGGGGATTATGCAGCTCCGAAATGAGTGTACTACATGCAGCAGCTGGATCGCCGGAAGAAGCGAGTGCGCCCTAATGAAAATAAAATGAAATTATGTATTTAGAAACAGGACATTTTATACAATTTAACTAACCAGCCAAAAATCATTGCCCGGCAGTGCATTGCCAGCCCAAGCATACGATTCTACTATAAGCATATTTTCGAATTCAGGTGCCTAAAAAATAGACAGTACATACACACATACAAACATATATAAAAAATCCAATAATCAATTCAAAAGTATAATTACGCACCAACTTCTGCGATGGATTACGATTACTCATAAATATTTTAATGCCACCTTCAGGATGTGTTTCCGATATTATAACGCCACCATCGCGTAGTTCACCCCAAGTGGACATAACAAAGTAGGAAAAATGCACCACAGAGATATGCGACAATTTTGGTAAAAGCAGTTGCAAACGCTCGTTAAACGTCTCTAAAAATATTTTCTCCTGTTGCGGTACTGCGCGCCATGAACCCAGACCTATTCCCACAACATGTAAATACATTTGCTTGTTCATAGTGGCGCCACGTGCTTCTGCTTCCAAGAGTAGTGTATCAAAAGATATGGCATAACGTTTTTTCATTAATAAATTATCGAAAATATAATATGCATGTGGTCCCTTAAAAAAGCGTTTCGTATTGAGTGGTTTTACATTTTCATAGATTAAATCTGTTTCTTCATAAAAACTTCTCCATATTTGACGATAATCAACAGCGCGTTTGTTTGCCTTCACTGCCTCTTCAGCTGTATAACCATAACCGTTCGCTTTGGTATTTTGAACGGCGGTAATCATTATATCCTGCCATTCCATGGTTTCTTTTACTTGAAAGCGACCACCTATCAGACCAATTACAATGCCTTCCGGTTCGATTTTCGTTTTGTCAACTTCGACTACGCCTTCGTTATAACGGTTGCCATCATTTATAAATTCAGTTTGTGAGGAGATTGATAGAAATGCGGTAAGCTGGGAATGAATAAAAATTGATTAATAAAAAAAAATATTTACAGTATATAATATACATATAATGTACATACATATACATAATACATATAAACAAATATTTAAATATTAGAAACAAAAATGAAAAATTAAAAAGAAAACATATCAAACTCAATATTTAAAACAAATATTATATTATTAAAAAAATAGCATATGAAAAGTAGCAAAAAAAAATTTAAAAATATTTTATATACATATTAATGAAAAATTTAGAAAGAAAATAATATTAATGAAATTTAAAACAAATAAACATGTATAAAAAATAATAATAGCACTGAATATCCAGCAATGCTGAAACTATTTTACAACCGCTGTAAAACATTTAACTCACTTTAATTTCATCATAACTCAAAACATTCTTTAGTTGCAGTGGCACTTTTTCAGCATTAGTGCCAACCTCACAAAATCCGCCATAACCTTTTTGTCCCGTAACAAGTAAATATTTATCTATACAGCCATAAAATGAGGCACAACGTTTTTCTAAAAGTCTCTGCACAAGCGCTGTGAGCGTCATGTCGGCATAGATGGCGCGCTCAATATCATTACCTGTTGATGGTGAGTCAAAAAAAAAGTATTGTATTTTAAAATATAACAACATAAGCCACCCAAAATACTTACCATATTTACATTTATGTTCCAAAAAGGCTAAATACAAATATAAGACACGCTCATGTATAACCGGGTATGCAGAAGCGATTTGTTTTCTAATTTTCGCATAACGCTCAACAGGCTGACTCATTACACGACATGTGTCGCAGCCGAACTGTATGTATTTTGAGAGAATGTTGTCATTATTTGCATTTGTATATATTATATTTATATAAATTGAGCATTAATACCCACCTGCAGCGGAAATTTATTAGACTTTTCTATAAAACTTTCTATATCAATTTCACACGCATTGGGCTTTTTCAACTCCATGCACTTTTCTAGCAAGTCTTCGCCAAATTTTGTTAACTGAATAGCTGCATTCTCTTGTGGCCATATTCTATTATAATCCGTACTCAGAATTGGCGCATTACGCGGGTCAAGTGAAAAGGAGCGCGAGAGAAATGTTTGTATAGCTGACCACATATTATTTCTTTGTTATTGTGCTACTACTTAGCGTGCAATCACTCGGACGTCTTATTTAGTATGTTTACATTAAGCGACTAACACGGCGTTTTATAACTCTATGTCTACTAACTATTTGGCTGAGTGCTGGGGAATTCCCAAATGCAACTGAAAGTACACGTACTCGTACATGAATCTTATTAGTTACTTTCTGCATCACTTACATTGCATCACTTCAATAAGTGGGAGTGAAATTTTTTAGGAATAATATATTTTTATATATGTATGGGGTACTATTTTTAATTTGATCTTATTTACCTCAAACTTATTTCCCCTTTTTATTTTGATATAGTATATTGTGAAATACATTTTCATTATAACTAAATTTACCCTTCGGGCGAAGCTGTTGTTATTATGGGTATTGTCAAAATCCTACGATTTGACTAGCGTTGCCAACTAAACTAAGCGGAAAGAAAAAACTTTTGTTTACTTTGTGATCGGTAGTGCGGAATATCATATTTTCCGCTTCCTGCTCTACATTGATTCGCAAAAATTATTCGTATGTATGTACATATGTAATTACACTCAGACGCTTTCGTAGTGTGTTTATTGAAAACAAACAAAACGAATAATTTATGAAAATAGTTAAGTATATTGTGGGGTAGAAAGTGAATAGTGAAAAGAGTCGCCACGCCATTGCCACGTCGAAGAGAACAACATATGTCGTGGCAGCGAAAATTGACAGAAGTAATATACAATATAACAAAAACCAAACTAAACGCACACTTTGTTACATTAAAATCTCAAAAAGAACAAAAAAAGAAAAGAGATACAACCTCAATAAATTTCACTCTAAAACTTTTTGGGCAAATTCGGCTATATGCAAAACACCAAAACGCGGCGAGGCCACATGTAAATTCTCACCATTCACCATTTTTGTATTAATATGCGGATTGTGAAGCTCAGAAATAAGCGTGCTGCAAGCAGCAGCCGGATCGCCGGAACTTGTAAGGGCGCCCTGAAAGTAAATGCTTGTTAATGTATATAAAGTAAATAAAGAAGGGATAAATCTGTAAATTTTGTACAGACCTTCCAAAATTCATTGCCTGGCAAAGCATTTGCGTCCCAGGCGTATGACTCTACTATAAGCATATCTTCATAAGCCGCAGGCTATAAATAAATGGAAAATTATTGTAAATTATAAGTGGAATTTTCGTTTTCAATAATAGTACGAACCAACTTTTCTGCTGGATAACGATCATGTACAAAAATTTCAATACCCCCCTTTGGATGTAATGCACACATAATTTTACCACCATCCGTTAGGTAATCTCTCGCAGAGGATGGTCGGAAATTAGAGAAATGCACGACCGAAATATGATTTAAGCATGACAGCAGACACTCTAAGCGTTCTTTAAATGTTTTTAGGAATATTTTCTTCTGATATGGCGCTATTCGCCATGCACCCAAACCAATACCAACAACATGCAGATATATTTGTTTGCCAGCTGCAACACCACGCGCTTCAGCCTCATGTAGTAGCGTATCAAAAGTGATGGCATAACGTTTTTTCATTAAAAGATTATCAAAAAAATAACGTGTCACATCAAATTTATAGAACCGCGTTGTTGTAGGAGTATTTTCCACTTTTTCGTAAAGTATATCTTCTTCTTCATAAAAAGTTCGCCACAATTGCCGATAGTGCACCTTGGGGTTTTTGGACTTCTTAGCCGCCTTTGTGGTATAACCGTAACCACGCTCTTTTGTATTTTGATTTGGTGTTATCACTATATCCTCCCACTCCATCACATTTTCCACTTCGAAACGTCCACCGATTATACCAATAATAACACCTGATATTTCTATTTTTGATTTGTCCTCTTCGATGATGCCGCAATTGAAACGTCTGCCATTGTTGAGGAATTCGGTGTGCGATGAGATGGATAGAAAAGCGGAGAGCTGCAATGGGGAAAAGGTAAATAATTGAAGTTCTTTATTGAAGTGAAGGGGAATTTTCTTTTTTTTAATAATTTTAGATATAGCCAAACATTTTTGTTTTGCTTACCTTTATCTCATCATAACTGAGCACGTCTTTCAGTAGTAGCGGCGGCTTTTCATCTACTGTGCCCACATCAAAAAAATTTGCCAACGTCTTTCGCCCATTCAAAAGCACATAGTCATCGAGCGGACCCACAAAGGCGACACAACGTTTCTCTAACAAACGCTGTACAAGCCCAGTGAGTGTCATGTCATGATAAATGGCGCGCTCTAGTTCGGTACCTATAAAAATAAATAAAAGTGATAGAAATGTTCCTTCGAAGAATTAACATAAAAGTTTTTTTTTTTTTAATTTTGTTTAATAATGAAAAATATTAATTAAATTTAACAATATTTTGAAAATTATATTGTGAAAATTAGGCTTTGATCACGATTTTCGGCATAAACATTTTTTCTAAATTTATCAAAGTTTATATTTTTATATAACCCAAGTAATTATGGTTTTTATTGAAGCTGTATTTTTTGCATTTTTTTTAAGATTTTTCTTAAATTTCGCTTGATATGTAATACAAGCGTTAGTTTTTGCACTTAACGCACAATAACAACAAAAAATTAGCAAATTGAGTTGAGAAGAGGGTGCTATTGTGAATGATACTCTGGAAAGTACTTCCGTAAATTTCAGATAAGAGTCAAAATGCTACGAAGTTTACTTTAAGCTTAAAAAATGTTGTTTAATAATTTCTTATAAATACATTAAATATAACAGTAATTACACAATATCCTCATTATTCAGTATTATTTGTAAGAAAAAAAATGTATCAATTTCTTCGATGATTTCAATTTTGTTGCGATTTTTCCATACAATTTATTAAACGTTCTTTTCGAGGTTATTTGCAACAAAAATGGCCAAATATGTCACAACATACATAGTAGCACATATATGCTTAAAATATTCCACACAATCGTATACGCACCATATTTACATTTATATTCCAAGTATGCTAAATACAAGCCAACCACGCGCTCATGTATTAACGGATAAGTCGAACCGATTTGTTTTGAAATTTCCACATAACGCTCTTTTGGTTGACTCATCACGCGACAGGTATCGCGACCAAACTTCAAAACATAATATAAAACAAATAAAATACAATTTAATCATTATGGTATTTTATCTAGTAAAATACGTGCATATGTATGTATGTGTATGTACCTTAATGGGAAAACGCATTGATTGTTTTATAAAACTTCCTATATCAATATTATTGCTGTCAGGTTTTTGTATTTCTATACATTTCTGTAACATTGACCGATCGAATTCGTTGAAATTCAAGCTCGCCGCGTATGGTGGCCAAATTCGATCGAGTGAATCATCATCGAGTTGGGATGATTTTGAAGTAAAACCACATTTTTCTATTATATTTCGCAGCATCATAACTTATTTTTTATGTATTTGTTTAATAAATTCAATTAATTTAAGAGAAAAATTCTTTTCCTGGATCCACGCACACTACACTTTGACATGAATGCGAAAAATTATACGCGCAAATCACTTCCAGCTAAATTTCATTTATTTACATTGATTATGAATGTATATAGGAATTCGCTCTAAATATGTATCCGTTGACCACCCTCAGTCTTTTGCATTTGTTCCTTCCCAAACGGCTAAAAGCCTGCTGGCTTTTGCTTGCTATATTTCCACTATCGAAATACTACGTTTTATTCAATAAATATGTATATTTATATATGTACCCACAAAATAAACACATACATATGTATGTATCAACATTTAGTTTATATTTCATAAAAATATAACATATTTACTTGCAAAAGAAAAATGAAAGCATACAATTTTTACCGAACAGCTGAGAGCTGACTATGCGTTGCTAACTAAATCGATTTATTTTATTTGGTTTACTATTTTTTTTGGCGCATATTTCAAAAAGTTTTTGACATTTCCGGTGACGAAAGGACAAAAATGTGTAAAATTAGTTTTTTCTACAATTTCTTCCCAATAAAACAACAACTTGCAAGTAAGTTCGCTTCCAAAAACACATCTACATATGTGTGTAACATATTTAATATTGGTTAACTCTTGAAGTAAGTAAATATGCGTGTGTATATTGTCATAAAGGCAGTATACATACATCCGTACATATCTATGTATATGTATAACAACATTAAACCACAATTTGTACTAAAGCCATCCATATATTATACAAATGTATATTTTTTCAAACAAAAACTTTTTTTGCATAATCTGAAATATGTAAAACCCCAAAACGATCTGATGCAATATGTATATTCTTGCCATTTACCATTAACTTGTTTATGTGTGGATTGTGTAGTTCTGTGATAAGTGTGCTGCAAGCAGCCGCAGGGTCGCCGGAAGTGGTTAGTGAGCCCTGTAAATAGCATTTTTTTTAAATAAGCAATAGTGACTAACATATTTAGAATCTGGTAAACTTACATGCCAAAACTCATTGCCTGGCAAAGCATTGCCATCCCAGGCATACGATTCAACCACAAGCATATTTTGAAACTCGGCTTCCTAAGAAATTAAATACGTAATTTCAGAAAATATACATATACACATGTATGTATATTATAAATCGATATATTTTGGTACTTACCAATTTTTGTGCTGGATTTCGATTACTAATAAATATTTTAATGCCACCAGCCGGGTGCGATGTCGACTCCAAGACACCGCCATCTTCAAGTATACCACAAGCAGTCATATTGAAATATGAGAAATGTACTACAGAAATATTTATTAAACGTGGCAGCAGCTCGTCTAAGCGTTCGCCAAAAGTCTGTAGAAATAGTTTATCCTGGTGTATGACGGCACGCCAAGCGCCCAAGCCAATACCAACAACATGCAAATATACCTGTTTGTCGGCGGCAGCGCCACGTGTGTTTGCCTCTAACAGGAGTGTATCAAATGATATGGCATTGCGTTTCTTCATCATGAGATTATCAAAATAAAATTTTGTGTTTGGTATATTGTAGAAACGTGGTGAATCTTGTGCACGCATATTTTCATATAATAAATCTTGTTGTTCATAGAAGCGCGTCCACATAGAACGATAATCAATATCACGACTCTGAGTATCTTTAGCTTCCAACATTGTAAAGCCATAGCCACGTTCTTTTATATTCTGTTTTTCGGCAATAATTATATCCTGCCAGTCCATGACTTCACGTGCCTGAAAGCGTGCGCCAATTATACCGATAATCACACCGACAGTTTCGATTTTTGATTTATCATTTTCTATAATGCCAGCATTACGACGATTGCCATCGTTTAGAAATTCTGTATACGATGAAATGGAGAGAAATGCAGAGAGCTGAAAGTGTCATGAGAGTTTTAAAAACTTTTAACTGTCTTTTTTTTAATTGCTCAGTGTTTTACCTTCATTTCATCATAGCTCAGTACGTCTTTCAACAGAAATGGTGCTTCCTCTTGCTCTGTGCCCACATCATAGAATTTGCCTAATCCTGTTTTACCATTAATCAATAGGTAATGATCCAATGGGCCTACGAATGAGACACAACGTTTCTCTAATAGCCGTTGCACAAGATCTGGAAGTGTCATGCCATCATATAAGGCGCGCTCAATTGGGGTGCCTAAAAAAAGAAGAAACAAATAAAAATAAAATATTTATTTCGTTGCGCAAACATCTCCACCACATACCGAATTTCAATTTGTGCTCCAAAAATGCCAAATATAAGCTGAGTACACGTTCATGTATCACTGGATAAGTGGAAGCGATTTGTTTGATAATTTCTGGATAACGCGCCTTTGGCTGACTCATAACACGACAATTGTCGGTGCCGAACTGCAAAGGATATTAATTTTTCATCTATTATTTCATTTCATTAAATAATTATTATTTCACCACAAACTATATGTGTGTGTATGTATATATGCACATACCTTTAGCGGGAATTCTGATGATATTTTCATAAAACTTTCAATACTTATTCCACTTGCATCTGGCTTCGGTACAATACTGCATTGATGCAGTAATTCTTTGCCAAAAGTTGTTAGCACAAAACCGGTATCTCTCTTCGGCCACACTTGCTTTAATTCTGCCTCTTCGTATTCATTGATGGGGTTTGTAGAGAAAAATTTATTCTTTAAAGCTTGAAACATTGTGGTTGCAGTTATAAAAAATCGTTTTAATTATGTGAAGTGAAAAGAATGACGCTCGCTTTTTAACTAATACTTTTCATGCCATTTCATCAGAATTTATTGTTTACGTCGTGATCGTTTAGAGTGTACTTCGTAATTTCTCTACTTGTTGCGGTCACCATTATTGTATTTTTTTCTTTGTTATCAATGCTTTTTTTTTTACTTTTTTATTTTGCAAAGCAAGCGGACGTTGTTAACAGCTGATTTCAAAGCGTTGCCAACTTATTTTCCATAAGTAAAATTACTTTGAATGATAGTGACAGTTGATGTTTTGGCATTGCCAAATATTTTTTGAGTTCATTGGGAATTTAAAATTTGAAGGCATGCTTTTGGAAGGGTTGGCTTCTAAAACTAGTGAAAACGAGTTCAGTTAACCCTTGCAAATGGGGCGCTCAAGAACCTACCCGCGGTCGACTAATATCCGGCGATGCAATGCTGCAATATTATCCGAGAACCAATTTGGGGAACTTTTTGGCGTTTGCAACAACAACAATGCTGTTTCATATATATAGTATAAAGCTATCCATATCGTGGTTTCAAAAGTACAAAGCTATATTTTGACATCTGTCAAATTTAACTGTAAAACCAAACATACTTTGTTTTAGTTAAAAATCAGGTATTTATGAAAGTGAAACGCTTAACAACCGCACAACGCGTTAATGCTATTAAAACCTACTACAAATGTGGTGTGTCAAACGTGAACGCGTTTAATTGTCCGATCCCTCAGGCATTTGATAACATTTTGAAGAAGAGCCAAAATAATCGGGACTAATTCTCAAGGGCAGGGACTTGCTTATGGCACATTATGGTGTACTTTGCACTTGGACTTATACCAACATCCATACAAAGTCAAGCTCACAGAACAACTGAAATCAGCTGACCATTCACAATCAGTGGACGGCGATTTTTCAAGCAAAATTTTCTGCAACAACGAGGCGCATTTCTTACTTGTGGGATACGTTACTAAGACAAATTGTCGCATTAAGGGTTCCGGGAATCCTCAAATAATTGAAGAGATTTGTGAGTGGACCTTTGAAAACAACAATGGCGATACCGTCACTGTCAATACGAATCTTTTTGGTCGTATGATAGCCCACTTTTATTGGCCTGCAATTGAAGAACGTGACTTGGACAATATGCGGTCTAAACAAGATGGCGCCACATGTTCCATAATACGGAAGAGATTTCTCGCCTTGGCGATGGCAATTGGTTACCGAAATCTTGTGAATTGACAGCGTTGAACCTTTTCTACGCGAAAACCGTGTTTACGAGGGTAAGCCTTCAAGTCTTGAACACTACATTCGCAAAAAGATGGCCATTTGAAAAGCATAAGAACTTAGTCTCCAGCTACAGTCCATTCAAAATGTAAGCCCAAATAAAAACCACATTAATTTTATATAGTATTTGCATTTTCTTTTTTAGTATTCGTGTTTTGCGATTTACTTTTTTTTGCAATCATTTCATTATATAATTTCTTAACTTTTTTCTTACTTATACTAAATATGTAGTTACGTTTCAATAAAATTATTTGACTCATAAATAATAGTTTGTTTTAAATATATATGTATATACATATATATATATAGAGATTTTTGTATTAAATTTACACTGTTAGGGACGATTTGAAACGTTGGCAACGCGAAATATTTGCATTCATGAATTAAACATTTTTTTCTTATACACTCGTTCTTTATTTTACATAACCGTTGAGGGAGAGAAAATATAATTAAAGTTTTTGTTTTGATTTAATTGATTTTCTACATAAACGACTGGTGTTTTCGCATTTAGATGCAGAGAAAAAAAATGTGGTAACTCATTTTTTAATATTCATTTATGTCGCTAACGTATAAGGTTTTACACATTAAATATGTATGTATTGTATATATATGTATGCTTACGCATGTAAATTATTTTATTTTTTTTGTCGTAATCACTTTTAATTCCTACACTATGCTTTTTAATTTTTTGTTTCAAAAATTTCCTTTGGTTTCAGTTGCTTCGTGCCTTAAAAACTAATTGTTTACAATTTCCTTTTTTTTCTTCATTGCAAAGTTTTAGCATGTATTTACTTTATTACGATTGAGCTTAAACATAACCTTTTGCCACTTTTTCTTTTTTTCATTTCCAATAACACACATTTTTCATACCAAACATAACAGCGTTCCATTACCGATTGGAAAATATTGCATTTTTTATTTCGAAAATTCGCTTCATACTAGAAATTTGTTTAAAACATTAAGAAATAAACGCATTTCAACTCGATACATATTTGTAATTGCATTTTGAGAGGGAGTTTATTTCAGCAAACGAAACGAATTGTTTAACGAAAAAATTAATGCTTAATTAATATTAACTTATTTCCATTAGAGTTTTAATTATATATTTAAAATTCACCTGAAAGTGCATATAAAGCATAATTGCTTTCGTTTAAGTGAAATTAAATATATTTAATACAATAAAATTACCATTCATAAGTTCATACGCAGCATAAGTGTCGAGAGTTTAAAAATATGTAATACATATGTATGTAGTATGTTTGTTTTTAAGTTTGCTAAGCATTTGCTATAAATATTGATATATGTATGTATGTCTAATATAATAAATTCTGCTAGATTTTTGGTTTTTTTTTTTTGTAAATCAACTTGAAATAATAATTGAAATTCGAATAAGTGCCAATGCAACATGGCTGCCTAGTGCTGAGCGCGTTACCAACTACATGTGGAGAAGGTTCATTTAGGAAAAGGAAATAGTTGAGCACAGCTGTCATATCAAGCACGTGTTTATAATGAGTGCGGCGTTAATGCAAAAGCGAAATTTAAAAATAGTTTTCTTTTGTTTGCAAGCGATATTTTGCAGATAAACACTATTTGCTTGCATTTCGCTTATGTGGTAGTGCTGTTCAGGGAAATGCTAATTGTTCTAAGTGATTCTGTTAAAATGTACACATATGTATGTATATTAAACCCAGAAGTGAAAAAATATCGCTGTAAAACGGCAAGATTATGCAAGATATTGAGATCAAAGTTTTTTATACCATTTATAAATTACTATTAGCGCTTTAATATTTGCAAATATGCGCTGTTTATTATTTGCGAGTTAAACATAAGTTTATAAAGTGGTGTGTATTATTACAAAGCATCTTGCATATTATGGACAACTAGAAAATTTACCGCTTCAAAATATTGAAATACAGCATAAGGATAGTGCAAAAAAAAAAAAATTAAATTAAAAAAAAAATTAGAAAAAAGTTGTACATTGTAAGTGTGAGTTGTTTGCAAAACATATTATTCTTATTTTTTGTATTAACCCAACCTTTTAACCAACTGTTTAGCACTGCTTTCAGTTAAAAAAATGTCACTTATTTTGCTGGTTGGATATTCAATTCCGTTGAAATTTTACTAGAATGAGTTTTTTTCTTTTTGCTTATAGTTTAAGTAAGTAAATAGTGTACGACAGTAACTGAGCTTTAGTTAATAACTGTTGGCTGTCTATTTTTATATGATTTTTTTTGTTGTTTGAAATGATATTAGCTGGTTTTAAAGCCATTACCAACAGCTGCTTTAGTTGTTTTACTGTTATCACTTTCTAAGCCATTTATGTGTTGCTGTTTATCTGAACTTGACTTCCGTTTTCCAAATTTGTCACACACCAAATTCATCACTTAACAATTTTCTCCAATTCTTCAATCTCTTTAGTATTGCAACTTTTATTGTTATTTTTTTTTTATTAAATTTTGGCATACGATTTTTTCATGTTTTGGTGTGTTTTTCTATTTATTATGTACTAAAAAATCTCATATTGTTTATAAACATTAATAATATGTAGGTATACTAATTGAGTAAATAGGTGGAGAGGCGGAAACTCAAGTTACTAGGTATAGTTTGTATGTATGTAACTAGTACACATTAAGGTATTTTTTATTTTTTGGTTTATTTGGTTATTGGAAATACTGACTTTACACTTTTGTGTTTCGTATAATGTTTTTATGGAGTTTTGTTTATAGCTAAATATTGTTTGGGTGTTTTTTTTTTAGTAATTATAATTAATTATATTTTCTTTAGTATTTATTTACTACCTTTTGTTAAGTGTGTTTCATTTTTTAATAATAACTTTTGTTTAGAATTTCTTTTTATTTTAGAAACTGTACTTTTAAGTATGTATGTTTGTAATTAATGCTGTAAACAATTGCTTTGAAATTTTCTTATTATCGTATTTTGTTGTTGTTAATGTACCTTTGAATTGTTTACGTTGAGTTTAGTTTCATAGAGCCTATAGAGCTGTATATAACATAGCTAGCGAATTCTAAGGAAAAACAGTTTGCTAATTATCTAAATACATATTTAGTTTCATTTCTTGTTTTTTTTAGATAATTTTGGCTTAGACTTGTAATCGGTGTTAAACTTTCAACTCTGTTTGTTTTTAAAGAGTTTCTTGAGTTTGCTTTGTTTAGATAAAGATTTAATTTTATGCTTCACTTAAATACTTTTCAAGTTTAGTAACAATTTTATTTAAAATGTTTTAATTAACGCTTAAATTATTTTAATATTATTTATGTATATATATAGCGTGTTTTTATATATTACTTCTCTTTGAATAGTAATGTATGTATAGTAATTTCACGTTATTTCACTATTAAATATTATTTTTACTTCAATATTCGCTTTGAAAGATTTTACATAGATTTGCGTTCTAACGTACATTCATATGTATGTATGTGGTTTCTCTTTATAGCTTAGTTATACTTTTTTATACACTTAATTAACTAAATATTAAATACTTATTATTTCGATTGCATTTTAACCTTTTAAAAAGTGCAGCCTATTTGCCAGTATCGTCGTCTTCATGACATCGCTACATGTCTGCCAGAGCGGCTTACACTGTAAGCGTTTTTTTATTCCTCCTTCCCCAATTCAACATTTTCCATAAGCGCCAAGTATTATAAAACTGGTTCTTGTTCCTGTATTGATGAATTCTAGGCATAGAATTCTGATTTGCCTTGTATTTTATAGGCCTCCTCCTCCATTTTGTACATGTCGAGCAGCTGTGTGTTGGTGAAAAGGGAGAATAATTAAGTGTTTGATTAATGAGAGTTTTTGACATATAATTATGACAGCAAATAACTGTCTGAAAATGACAGTACAAAATACAAAAGTAGTATTTACTTTACTGTATTAAATATATATGTACTTTATTAATAATTCTAGCACAAAAAAAAAACAACTTTTACAAAAGTAAGATTTATTGATATACTATAATAAATACAAACTAATTACAAATTAAAATGCGCAAAAGAAAGTACCAAATGCGCGCTAAAATTACAAAATATTAGTTTTAAATTTGTTTACTGAACACAACAACAAAACTTAAGAAACTAAAAGGCAATAAATGTTTCTCACTTATGTGTAAATTATGCGCCACAACATTTAAGCATATAAAGAATGTACAGTTATGTAAGCTTGAGAAATTAATATGTACATATGAATGCGTAACCGGTTTGCGTAGAGAATAGTTATTCACTCAAAAATGACAAAGTAAAAAATGAACTTATCATTAAAGTATTACTAAAATATTATAATTTGAATAGAACTGAAATTCAATATTATTTTTATGAAAAAAAAATGCTGGAATATGGATATTTTTCTTTACAAAAATAATAGTGCGAGTTCTTAAAATATGGCGGAAATTTGAAAATAAGAAATAATGTATACAAATCAATTTACATTAGCAGATATTATAAGCGAGCTGATTTATTTTAAAAAATTTTGTTTATTTTAACTAAAATTTTATTCAATTACACATTGAGCCAGCTCATAAGCAAATTTAATAAATATGCTTTTTAAAAAAGTTTTCTCCAGTAATTTTTTAAATGATAAATATGTGCTATAGGTAGTTATTTCAAACGACTAGAATTGAGTAACATGCTTAATTTAAAATATTACTAATTATTAAACTATAGCAAAATGTTATTCAAAACATAACTAATTAATTTTCAATAATTTGTTGTTTTTTTAGGTTAAGTTCTTGTAGATATCTTTAGCGCACAAATAAAATTGGCACTTAATCAATTTAAGTACATTATAAATGTTCGATAATTAAAATAGTTCTCATAAAAAATAAAAAATTTCTCTACTCATATTTTCTTTAGTTTAATAAACCAAAATAAATGAACGTAAAATTATTGTGAGGAACACACAAGCAGTTGTGTAAGCGTGTTCGTGTATAGAAAAATTCAAATAAATATATATGTTTCACATATACACCTACATAGATATGCATGTATATAAAACATTTTTTTTTCTAAGATTTTGCTACTACTAGAACTAATAATTACTTTGTTATTTATTTTAGCACAAGTTATTATTTTTGAGACTTCTTCATTCAACAAGCACAACTACGTATGTATGTTTTTGACTATATTTTTGGTTGCTATGATATTACAATTTATTATAATTTTCTTATATTTTTATTTCTTTAGCTGCATTAAAGTACAGTCTCAATACTGGTTATAGTGTCGGTTTGGCGGAGTGTTTCGTTTAGTACCTTTTGTACATCTGTACTAAATTCCTCGACTTGTTTGCCATGTGCCACTTTAAGTTTCTCCATAGCACGTCCCTGTTTAACGCCGATTTGCTATAGGAAAATAAGTAAGTATTTTTTTTAATTTATCTTATATAATAAGCTTTTGCAATACACTAGGATGTTACTTTTGACAAAATTCAGAAGTGGAATAAATTTATGCATAGATATGATTGCAATATTCTTAACTTACAGTATTTCTGTTTATAAAGTATACAAAATTGGGTCTCACCTTTTTCTCCTCCATAAAACGCTTAATATTATTCTGTCGCTTTTCACGCAATCGTCGATCCTTTTCATTTTTCGTCTTCAACGTTTTATCATTTTGTACCTCTTTAGCGGTATCAGCAGAAGTTTTCGCTTGTTTGGCATTCAAGTCTTTAATATCACTGAAAAGTGAAATTATACAAATGAATTAATTTTTATTTGGAATTTTTAGGTATTCAAGGAGTTTCAAATTAATATATTTACTTAAATGAATTTGGTTCAAATAGAAGTTTATTCACAGCTACTTACCGCGCATGTCTATCCTCCAGCTGTTTGACCTGTTGCGCCTGTACAGTCAACATCAATGCTTTCATCGCTTCTTGAGAGTCCTGCACATGTTGACGCAACATGTCCCATTCCTCTTTCTTGTGTTTAGCAATCATTTCGGTCCACTGCTGCGTCTGTTCAGTGATTGCATTCTTGATCGTCGAATCATTGCGTATTTCATCTTTGCTATAAAGCGTAAGAGAGAGAGAGATAGAGAAAGAGAGAAAATAGGCGAACATTTATTATTTATTCTTCATTATATTTATAATAACCATTTAATTTCAATTTCCAACCTCTTGCCCTTAATAAGTCGATCAATAGCTGCATTCTGATTTTTCTGCATTGTCATACGCTCCTTTGTATGTTTCTTCTTCAACGTATCTAATTCTTTGTTTTGCTTTTTGGCCACCTTCTGGAATCCCTTTTCACCACGAAGTGATTCCAATGTTACTGGTTCGAATACTAATGGTGGTTCCTTCTTTTCTTCCTCTTTAGCTTTGCCTGCATCGCGGGCTGCACCGCCGCTCTGTTCCTCGATGCCAAGCGCTTTCATTTGTTCATTTTGTTTTGCTGCAGCGCCTGCAAATCCTCTTGGATCCGACAGCATAGCCATGAAATCTTCAAAGCCATCAGGTACATAAATCTTTAATTCGATGTTGACGAAAAGCATAGGCAATGACATGGGGAAATTGGCTTCGGTACGTAGTGAGACGTGACGATAGCCAGCTTGTAGACCATCCAAAGGCAATATACGTTGTCCGATCATTTTGCCACTCTCTTCATAGACGCCGAAACGTAACACAGCCAAATCGGGTAGTACCACTTTACGAAAGACAAACGCATCCTCATTATAAACTGGATTTAAACCGTTGTTAGGCACCAAACGTGTACGAAATTCTTTCTTCACAGTGTCCGAAGGTAAACCGAACATATCCACTTCGACATATGTGCCGACCTTTTTATCTGACAAGAATTGACCGGCGATAATTTTCACTGAGCACTGCGCAGCAATGACACCGTCTACTGGTGCATCGGCAAATGGATCGAAATCCTTGTCAGAACGACGCATAAAATCCGGTTTGAGGAGATAGCCACAGCCACCGTTATATTCGAATTTACCCTGATTCAATTGCATAGGCAAATCTGAGGTTTGGAAATTGAGTGACACCATCTGACAGCCAGCGTTCCAGAACACTTGCGGCATATAGTTGGAAGAATCGGCGCGTGTGCCCTTCGGGTAAATACGCGACATTTGACGTTTGTTATAATTGACAAAGTCGATAGAGCTCTGCTTCAAATAGTTCATACCCGCCGCTTCGGCGAACGACGACATGTTGTGAGCAATGTTTTTCTCTGTTCATAAGTGAATAACAAATAATTTAGATAGTAAACATAAAATGCTGCCAGCTGGCAATTACCATGGGATGGGATATGACTTACCAATGGCTTTATCAAAGCCCTGAAATTTAATAGGCTGCGCATAATTGACCATCGACGACAGCCAGGGATGTACATTCGTCGTGGAGCCGCTATAATTGACCGCTGCCGCTTCACCCTCAGCCGGTGCGCCCTCAGCGCCAGGCTCGCCAGCTGGTGGTGCTGCAGCAGCCTCTGGTGGTGGTGCAGCTTCTGGTGGCTTAGCGCTCGCATCTTCCTCCGGATCGTCGTCTGTCTTCAGCTCACCCTTTAACCAGAGCTCCAATTCGACCTTTTCAACTTCCGGTTTCATGCGTTTATTCTTGATAAGAATTTTACGTTTCAATTTATTAGGCGGTGGGAGAGGCAAACCGGGATCGAGCTATAAGTTAAATGACGACACAGTAAGAGTTATGTTGATAATTTGACCTTAATGATTTAGTTACTAGATGGTAACTCACCGGATGCTCGGGTAACGGTTCTTTTAGTAGTAATTCACCGAAGAAGTCATCACAGTATTTAGCTAATTTATATTGCTGCGCACGATTGCAGTGATTCTCGAAAGATAATATGACAGGATACTCAGAGGAGACAAATGCACAATCGGCGATGGCTTGAATGCAATCCTGTGTGGCAGAAAAATTTCTGGTTTAGTTGAAAAGTACACTCACACTGCCTCAATACTCACTTTGAACAGTATTTCAGTACAGTAGGCATGACCGTGCGTAACGATGGGCTCTTCATCTTCACCTTTGCCATTCCAACAGTCCAATTCGACGCATCTATATGCAAAGAGTGTGAGTTATTATTATATTATACAATATATGACAGAGTGCTTTTGCTCTTATTTAAACTCACCTACAACCTGCCAATAGCGTCTGTCGATACATTTCTACCGAACTCTTACCACCAATTTGTCGACCCGACAAATAAGTATTATGTGAGCTATTAATATAGTAGTGCGCCAATGGATGATCCATTTCCATATACATTTCCAGACGATCCAAGAATACAGGTGCATTTTCGTCGGACATGAGATAACGCTTAAAACCGTCCATAGACATTTGACCTAAAGTGGAAATGATTTAAGTACATATTAAAAAAGCTTGAAAAAAAATTAAAATCACCTTAAAGCTTTCAAAAAAATTGTCTAGAAAGGACAAAGAGAGTCTTGGAAAACCTTTTGCAATGGTTTCTACGAAAACTCAGAGAGAAAGAAAGAGGGAAAGAGGGAAAGAGGGAGAGAGAGAAATAGAGAGAGAGAGAGACAGACTAATAAGAGATCAAATCTAGTGGTCTGCTAACTCAAACTTTTTCTGATGGTGAATATGACTTTAGCATGCAGCGAAATACTGGATAATTTTAAGATCTCTTACTTTCTGGAATGTTATCAAAACACACAGCTGAAATCAATCGTATCTACAACTGAAAAGAGTACTAGAATGATTGAAACCCTTTCAACCCCATAAAACTCAGCAATTAGATGACATCATTTTGCTAAAAGCATCTGAATGTGCAAGGTGTCCAACTTTGCATCTTCCTAATATCTTTGAAAGCTCTGAAGCTGCCTTTGAAAAGCTTTCTGAGGCACCATACAGCTTTTTCTTTCCATCGACACCAGAGGCGGTTAGAAGAACTACATGCTAGTCGTTTTCCTCAACATAGACGAAGCCTTTAACAACGCTCTAGAAGAATCATGAATCAGGGTAATTTTTTTCTGAGTTGGGAAGAAACTATGTAACTAGATACATGACAAAAGACTTCTCTCAAAGAGCGACGAAAGGAAACTACTAAGCTCTGTATGATATATTTTTTAATGTCCTATACATGGTAGGAAACTTATTTCAATATAGTGGTCGGGATGTCAACTTAGCAAAATCCGATATGGTGAGCTTCAATGGTGTCTTTGACATTTATATATATATAATATGAGCGCTTTGTAACCGCTGAAGCGAAGAGAAAGAGGGAGAGCGGAGTAGGAAGAAAGGAAAAAGAATGCGAAGGGTAAGCGAAAAGAACAACCTAAAAGAGCTTGCCGAATCTCTCTCTCTCTCTCTCCCTTGACGTGGTTAAGTACCTCGGATTAATTGTGGAAAGTAAACTTAACGGGAGCCGCAACACATGGTCGTTAACCATAACAACTAAACTGAACTCAATTTGAACCCAACTCATTATACTCACCAGCCTTCTTCTTCTCCTCATCCAATTCATAATCGTTGATGATCTCCGTACAACGTTTCTCATCGTAGAGAGGATATAAAATTTCATTCATACGTGGATCACGTTGCTTCTCATTCATGAACTGCACAAATTGCGCCATCGAAATGACTTCCGATTTACCCTTAGTGCTAGATAAGGACGAAATAAATGGGAATGTGAGTTTGTGAGTTTTAGGAAATACAAATAAAATTTAGACAAATAAACATTTACAAATATTGTTCGTATAAAAGACAAAAAGTAAATAAATAAATATTAGAGCAACATCTAACAGCATTGCCCAGCACGTTGAGCATTTGAGCAACTGCATGGCGTGACTGTTATTTACACACAAATTTATAAAAGTATAAATATATGTACATATTCTCTCTATGACCATAAGCTCAACTTACATGGATGTGAAAAGTTCCTCAATATCGTTACGTGGGCACACCTTGTGGTAGAGCGCATAAAACTTATCGAATGTAAACTCTTCTTTAGTCATCGTGGCGCTCTTATCATCCGGCAGGCCCACTTCCTTGAAACATTGATATACCAACTTTTCCGTTTTGCCGGACGCAAAAGTTTTCGCCACCACTTTTATAGGAATTTTCCCACCTTTTTCCACGGAGAAACATAAGCGCATCCAACTGAATTTGCGAGGGAGAAGGGAAGAAACAAATGTTGAAAAAATGTAATAAAATTAAAAAAAAAAAAAATTAATAAATAAATAAAAAAAATGCAATAATATTTACATTTATCGCTAGAGATGTGTTTTTGAGAAAGCATGCGAGTAGGTTAGAAATTATTCTACTTACCGCTTAGATCGAAGGAGTATAGATACTTACCAGTGAGTAGAAAGTAGGACTATGTAGTAGTCTAAGCAGGTCAGAGAGTATAGCGAGACTAAAACTCCAAAGATACCCTTTAAAAGCAATATGCATATGTCTATGGAAAAGTATTCACTATCGCTCACTCACCAAACCACAACTTCTCGGGGTATACTTTAAGATTGGGAGAACTGATTTTAGTTTGTCAAGAAGATTTTTAATCCGCATTAAGTAATTCGACACACCTGTAAACGTAAAAAGCAGTCTTTATACATTTTTCGTTAACTCTAAATGCCCCCAACATTAGTAACCATTTCCGCTGCTCATTAATCCTTTCAACTGGATCAAGCATATCTAGTGTTTGCTTAAGTCATTAGAAATGCTGATGCTTATAAGCATCACTTTCCTATAATAACAAAGACAGGTACTCAGATAGTAGCGAGAAACAATTTAAAAAAATACGGACCTTTCAAAACATCTAAGGACCCAGATCATGGTCGTAAGGCAGACCTCTTGACGTCGCCGGTGTTTTACCATCACAGTGTAACGTTCAGTTTCACCTTCAAGAAGCATAGTTATGCACCTTACATGCAATATCTATTGAGGTGGTACCAGCAGATACCTACATAAGCGTTGCCGAAACTCAAGCATATCCAGAAGAAGGTGTATGATAAGTATTCTTTCATAGAGCAAAATAAAACAACCCGCAGGCCCTTTAATGGAACCCAGTCACCAATTATAACAGAAGAATAGTTCCAGCTGCCTGTATGAATCCAAGTAATAATGATACCATTAAGAACCGAATATTAGAGAAACCGCGAAGCGTCATACGTAAAGAAGAACATAATAAGTCCACTCGCGATAGCCGCCCCCTTAAACCAACTCATCTAGCACCGTCCTCGTTTTAATCCAAACCTGACAATGTGGTTCGATTCTTAGGTCTCATATTAGATGATCTCATGATGACATTGACCGACTTTACTGCACCTATAAGGCACATTGTAGGCCTTTAGACGAACTACAACAACAAAACTCCCACAAGTCGATTAGATTTTCAGCCGTGAGATACTATAAACAGAATTTGGAACATAAAACATCGAAAATCGTACAATGGACAATGGAAATTATGTATTTGGTACAGCGTAAAGAAAACCAAAATTCGGAACGGAAACCAGTAACTGAAAGAGAGTTATCTGCTTCTCTGATAACATAGGACTAGTTACATAAAATCGTGGATACAGCAGAGAAAATGTTTATATAAAAACTACCATTTCCAACATAAAATGTACTGTTAAATTCATAGAATGCCGACATCAGGACGATGAGATATCAGCTTCACAAGCTAGCTGACGAAACGCTTCTGACTATCTAAACTTTGCGAGTGTTTCACCTTCAGCATATTGAGACGTCAAATCTTGCGGGTGTTTGCTAGCACCACCGCTTGGATGAAAGTAAAATATTTCAACAAATCTAGTAAACTATTCATAAATGTATAGTTGGCATTCTCGGAGGAGGTCTTAATGAGTTTACTGAATGACTTGAGGTCAGGTTTCCAGTCTCCGCTTTCAACCAACCAACCATAAAAAAAAACAACATTTACTAAGAAAAATGAACGGTTATCAACGAAGATAACTTGAATGCCGTACAGGGTTTGATCCTGCTGCGTTCTTTTATAATTGGCGCTTTGTAACCGTTGTAGCAATTTTTCCGCCAAGCTCCTCCTCCAATTTGTGGTTTTGCATCTTGATTTTTTTTCCAACAAATGGAGAGGCCTACAGTGTATAGTCAGCCGCCTCCGAGCGGTTTGTTTATGAGGAGCCTTTATTTCATGCCCGAAATACACCCGGAGTGGTGGACATTCACTGCCGAGGGGCGACCACAATTAGAAAATTTAGCTAAATATTTTTTTTTTAATTAATTTACCATAATTTTTGTATGTTACTGGCACCGGGTTATGAAACTGGGCCTTCTGAATGTCACCACTCGGTAACCCCGTCCGCCGGGTTCTACTTAGGCAATTTTACGACTAGTATGTAGTAGTTCTCCGTTTATCCGTTCCCAAACGGGCAAGTGATAACTTACAACTCGACATAAGTTCGCGAAGACATTACACTTAGCCTCGCAGTCAAGCAGTAAGTGCCGAGATGATTTCTTCTAGCAAACTTCTACCTATGTAGCCTGTTATTAGCTAACGACAAGCCTATCTGTTCAGAAACAAGACCACAGGTACTCAGAGTAATTCCTAACCATCTTCTGCACGCTGATATTAATAGCCATCAGCAACTCCGATATGATAGTCAAAGCGGTCTTATTAAAAAAATACCTCCAAAGTATATAGAGTGAGGCGCCTTACCTCGCTGCTTTAAATAATCACGAACGCTCACTAAGTTCCATCCCAAGTCGGGGTAGCCGCCTAGCTGTCGGAAGAAATATTTACGTTCTTATATGGAATTCCGCACCGAAGCAATAGAACTACCGCTTTCTTGGTTCCTGCCAACTACCGCATGAAAAACGCTATCGTAGGTGAAGCTGAAAGCAAGCTCCCGGCAGTAGACGGAGTACATGATAGGGATGAAGCTCCAATTCTTGGAACTCAACACAAACTTATTCGCTATTAATTTTAAATTGAAATCGCTCTAAATGACTAACTTTTCTACTGAACTCAATTTTTTTTATTTTCTTACTATTTATACCTAATCTTTCTTATTTCTCTCCACACTTCGCTGCTCACACAAATAATTGCAAATAATTAGTTTATAATTTATTGACTGCTCAAACAAATTGTGTTCGCATACATACACAACACGGGCAATAGTTATTCTAGATTCTATTGGTCAATTTCCTGTACAACAACAAAAACAACAAAAAACAACAACAGCAACAACAAATGTGATTAAATAGATAGTAAAGGACAAAATGAATAGAAAAAGAGTCTAGAGCTCAGCATATTTGTGCTCGGTACAGTTGTTTTATTTTTGTTTTTGTTTTTCTTTTTGATTGTACATTTATGTAAGTTTGTATGTGTATGCCCGTAATTTCCTGATACAGTTAAGTTTTTTCCATATGAATAAGCAAATAAAAACATATATGTGAAACGGCATTTATTTGCACAAATACCCAATAAACACAACGAAGGCACCACGGACTAGAGAGAGCTGGTCGATGTGATTGAGCTCATCCATTCCATCAGGAAACAAGTCGTTATGATGGGTTTAGACCAAGAGGAAAATGGTGTTAAATGAGTGCTTCTGCGGGGTAAAGGCTCAAGAAAGGCATGCCTGTCGTAAGAGGCGACTAAAATCCAAAAGTTCCTTCGGCAAGGCGGACAACAACATGTGTTGATGAGTTGATTTTAGAGCAGGAGTTAAATCTACTACCATCCAGAACTTAGTTATGAAAGCATCATACCGGTCTTACTGGAGGTGATGGCCGGATTGTTAAGTTGCCATTCAGTGGTAGAGAATTGAGGAAGATGTTGGCTAATTTTCTGGGAATGACGATTAAGGCCAGTCGTTAGTACGTCGAGTCCAGTGATTCTATTATGTAGCCCCGTGGTTAGTATTGCGTACTGCTATTTGAAAAGTAAACGTTCGAGTCCTGATTCGATCAATATACAATTATAGAATATTAATTCTTTCAAATTGTGGTAGCCCCTAGGCGAAAATTCCTCATAAAATTCCAGCGACCATTCAAAGGCGGCCTAGAATTCTCTCTAGGTATCTCCATTTGTTGAAAAATCATCATTTCGCACAGTACAAATTAGAGGAGGAGTTCAGCGCTTATAAAATCTTATGTAGACTTCGTTACCTAGTATTTCCATCTTAATGTATTTGGGGTGGCTCTAGAACTTAAATGTTAGTCTCAACATTTTACCCCTAGACCTGGTGGTTTATCTGACAACAACATTAGCTGCTATTCGCGTCAGTCAACAGGTACTCGGATGGCTCGAAGGACGATAGCTGAGTTGGTGGCAGTGCCACCACAAGAAACCTATCTTTTAAGCTCTCTTACGCTCGCCGACTAAAAATTTAAAACAAAAAACGATCCCGATAATGGATAGGCAAATATAATAGATTTTCTGCTACACGGGATTGCTGTCCACGGGAACGAAACCTATAAGGTATAGGAACTTTCTCCTGACAAGACAGGACGTAGTAGCAGTAAAACTAAACCAGTTTTGTTAAAATCGGATCACGAGAAATCTTGCCAGATCTACTCTCTATGAAAAGCAATGTTTTCTCTAAAATATATGGAGGCTTCATGCGTCACTATTTGATGAGATTATTTAGGTGTAGCTGCAGAGCAATAAGCAGAACGAGGAAATATATTTCGTTATTCATACGATTATTCTGAGAGAGGGAGTCTACCTCTCAATTGAATGCTACCTTCTATTGATGATTTTTTTAAGCCTAGCACTTGCCAAAGTAAATAACCCAGCAAAATTTATAAGGCAATCGAAGAGGCGACTGAACTTTTATATTTATATTTTATAGTTCACGGGACATCCTGCGGGTCTTTATACCGGAAAGCCCAGAATTTTTCACTGTCACTCCTGCAATATTTGCCGAAAACCAATTCGAGGAATATTTTCACTAAAACAACAAAAACATTATGTCATTTAAAAGACGTTAGCTTAAAGAGTGATTTATGTGGTTTCGCCTTAAATACCGAACGAGCAGGAATTTATATTTTCGACCTCGTTTCGTATTCAATACGTTATCGCGTGCCTTTTTTGTGTTTACTGGGTATGCAAAAAGAATATGTATGCATGTAGTTGTAATTGGTGAAAGTAGTACGACAAATAGCAAACGGAAATTAGGTTAAATGAGTACAATATGAATTAGTGAAAGCAAAGAGCAGAAAAATAAGGTAAAATACGTTTTTTTTTTGGAAAAAGTTTAGAAAAATGTTTTTTTTTTAGCGAAAGTTTAGTTGTCTGCAAAAAATAATCAATTTCTAATGCTGTTGACATGCCTTGGCACAGTTTGAGTTTCCTGCAAGCCGGAAAAAAATTAAACCGGGCGTATGAAACTAACAAAAAAGAATTAGTTCTGTTGCGCAAATAATTGATTTTTAAAGATATTGTTACAAAATAGCTCATTCAACAAATTGTATGCTTTTTGCAAACTTTTGCCAATTGGATGACGGTGAATTAGTTGTTTGAAATTTTATCGTCCGATGATCAGTTTTTATGTAATTGCACTCATATTTAATTTGCAACTCCTCCGCCACTGAAGCTACTTTTACTGTGTACATGCGATTTATTCACCTTATTCATATTATTTTTTCACTTAATTACACACTTGATATTTCTCCAAAAGTTAAATAATTAAAATTAATTATATTTTTCCACAAACTATATTTTTGTAGTCACTATCCGGCACATTTTGTTCGACAAAAATATTCATAAAAGCTGCAGCTGAACTATTTGACAGCGTAGGCGTTGCCAACTACATAAGTATACTGAACATAGTATAAGCCACCGTTTGGAGCTAGAGCTTAAATATTAGAAATTCAGAGTGAAATAATTTAATAAATGGATTTTAGTTTAATGAAAAAAATCATTGTATTGCCGCAATGCTCGATTGGATACTTATAATTCTCGCCAACAAAATTCACGGTTTATCAATTATGTACACATATTCGCCTGTTCTTGCGCAGCATTTTCGTATTCTACAGCAATCATAAATATTTATATGCATAAAAACCTCTAAGCGCCCATTTATTTATTTATTATTTGTTGTATGCGTAACTCTTTCGCAGATTGTCGGGCGAACAACACTCGAAGGATACTCATAAAGCAGGCAATATGGCTTGAAGGACAATGAAGATGTCCCACTTCTACTACTCAGCACACACAGCGAGGTAAGGCAGAAAAATGCCAATAAAACAAAAAGAAAATATGCTTAAAGGTTCACAACGTTTAATGATGCTGGAGTGGGCGGTGTAATGAAAGGAAAAATATTAGTGTTAGAAGTGAAAATTATATTAATAAATATTTAAAAAGCAAAAAATAGTGAAAAGATGAAAAAATTTAATGAAAATAATAAAAAATAAAGAAAATGTATATATATATATATAATATTGAATGAAATGCTAAAATACTACAGTTGGAAACGCTACCGCCTTCGTCCATTACTAACGCCCGCGCCGTAGCAACGACAGCTCATTTGCGTTGAGGCAGAGAAGATCTGTTTATTTATGCAAAATATCATGTTGTTTGCATAGTCACGAGCGCCGTTTGAGTTGTTACGTTTCAATGTTGGTATTGTTTTTGCTTATATCAACCGTAAAAACAATTATGCTGCATACAAATTTTGCGTTGAACGGCGGCGCGCCGTTGGAGGCGTGCTTTCAAGCAGCTGATACTCACAAGGTTATCAAAGTAGTCTATTTTCAAGCGGCTCTAAGCCTATTTATTTTAGCTGCTTTTACCTGCTTTCCATGCAATTCACCCATTCTGTGCCAAGGATTCGCTGTCACTGTAAACTTTATTGGGATTTTATGCGCTTTGCAAACAAATACATTATTCCCACTTTCTATTAGCAATAATACAAAAAAGACCTGTTGACACAAGTCGCTGAAAGCTAGTCAAAAGAAAATAGTGGAAATAATCCTTGTTTCTTTCATAGTTTGCTTTAGGGATTTGTAAAATAGCAGAAATATTCTTTTATTCTATTATTGTATATTTAATACTCGAGTGTTTCGGGTTTCACTTGCTATTTGTGCCCCTCTTCAATTGTTTATTGTCATTGATATTTTAAGCACTGCATCAGTTGAAAAAAAGAATTTTGAAAACTAATACGCAGAGATTAAGCAGGATATGCGGGAGCGAGATGGTAGAATGTATTTAAAAAATAATTAAAAACACTGATAGCGGATTAACCAAAATAAAAAAAACCAATAAAATAAATAAAATTAAAAAAAAACATATACAAAATTAATATAAAACCAAAATTAAATCAAATAAAAAAATATATAAATATTAATAAAACAAAATAAAATGAAATAAAATAAAATAAAAAAATAAAAATATTAAAAAAATAATAATAAAATAAAAAAAAATATTAAAAAAAAATTAAATGAAGTGAAATGACACAAAATAAATTAAATTAAATTAAAAAGAATAAAATAAAATAAAACAAAATAAAATAAAATAAAATAAAATAAAAATAAAAATAAAAATAAAAATAAATTAAAAAAAAATAAAAACAAATAAAATAAAATAAAATAAAATAAATTTTCACCATAATTTTCTTGTTTAACCATCGTTTTTTTGAAATAAAATAAAATGAGATGAAATTAAATAAAGTGAAATAAAGTAAAATCAAATACTAAATTAAAATAAAACAAAATAATTAAAAATAAATAAAGTAAAATGAAGTGAAATAAAATAAAACCAAGTAAAATAAAATAAAATGGAATAAAACAAAATGAGCTAAAATTAAATAAAGTAAAATTAAATTGAATAAAACAAACTAAAATAAAATATAAAAAAAACAAAATTGGATTAAATAAAATTAAATACTAAAGTAAAATAAAATATAATAATATATAAAGAAATAGATTAAAATATAATAAAATAAACTATAATAAAAAACTTGAAATAAAACAAAATAAAATAAAATATAAATAAAAAACAAAATTAAATAAAATTAAATTAAATAAAATTTCACTATAATTTTATTGTTTAACTATCGTTTTTAAATTTCTTGCTTAGAATTCTATATAAGAGCTATTTTTTTATTTTTGTCAAAATAACCGATAAAATAAAATGAGATGAAATTAAATAAAATTAAATAAAGTAAAATAAAATATGATAACATATAATAATATATATTAAAATAAAATAAAAAAAAATAAAATAAAATAAAATAAAATAAAATAAAATAAAATAAAATAAAATAAAATAAAATAAAATAAAATAAAATAAAATAAAATAAATCAAAATAAAATAAAATAAAATGAAATTAAATTAACTAAAATAAAGTTTCACTATAATTTTATTGTTCAACCATCGTTTTTAAATTTCTTGCTTAGAATTCTTTATAAGAGCTATTTTTTATTTCTATCAAAATAACCGATATGGTGATATTTCTTAATTATTGGGATTGCCAACGCGGTGTACAGTCACCAGCGAATGACAGTACAAAAATTGTCCAATTCTTAAACTTTTTGAAACTAAATAAAAAAAATATATATATTAAAAATTTTAAAATTTTTACTTACTTGTAATACATATTTTGATAAAAAATGTTTAAATATGCTTTTGACTATAGTTTGCAGCGAAATATTCTTAAAACAATTGTTTTACTTACTGTTTCATTAAATTAGTTCTCGGGCATACATTGGTTGCCTTATTATTATGTGTTATATAGCGCAGACCTTCTTGCCAACGCTGATTATTACAAGTTTTTATATATAAAATTTTATTTATAACATTTGGAAAAGTTATTTACAGTTGTAGAACGTGCAAATTAAATGTGCAGACATGCAAAATAAAAGAAGTGTATTGAAAGTAAATTAATTGAAATGAAATAGTAAGAAACCTAGTACAGATATAAATAGTAAAAATCATGCACAAAAAACATAAAAGAGAGACGCAGACAGAAAAGGTAAAACAGTAAAGTTGACGAAAAATTTCAGTAGAAACAAAGTTTAGAAATAAACACAATATTTTACAAAGAAATTTGAGGTTAGTCGAACATGTGCTATATATATGTAGAAAAACCGTAAGACCGACAGTGGTATGTAGTAGTACAAATATAGATAAAAATGTGTAAAAGAACATGCTGGTTGGTATTCCATATACAAAATTTAGTATATTCCTTTTGGAAAAATTTGGAAAACACATGCATTGTTTTTTTATTATTGCTTGCCATTTTTCTAGCTTTCTTTCACTTACTGTTTTTTCAGACACATCATCGGACATATATTATTCGCCTTAACATTATGTGTGATTTTTCGTATGCCATTTAACCAAATCTAAAATGGAAGATAAATGTTTGCATTGTGAGAATGATTTTATATGTGTGTATATATGTTTTCCTGAGAGTTTGTTTAAAAAAATATTGAACCACGAACAGACTTAGTTTAATCAAATAAAAATATTTCTACTCTTTTAGGTTAGGTTAGGGTACGTTGGCCAGCTAATGTGCCTTACATAGACCTGTTGGTTTTTTGTAATGCCAGACGGAGGTAAGTTTTATTTGCGATCTAAAGTAGTCATCGTATAGAACGTCAGCGCCTTTCACGAAGTTCAAGAGAGCTATAATATGCAATTTGGAAATCTCCTTTAGCCCTTTGAACTGCGAGGCTCCGAGATATCTGGCTAAGGCCGTGTTCACCCTTTGATATGATCTTAATTTTGAATTTTGATTCATCGGTGTGATGTCTTCTACCACAGAAGGGGCCGCATGTTCCGGCGTCATCTGTCCTGGTCGAAAACCTTCTTTCCCAGATAAAGCTTGGGGGTATGCGGTATTTTTTTGCCCTACATCTCCCTGCATAGTGCTCGAGTGTCTGATGGCCATTAATCTCATGTCAGTTTTCGTTGCAGTGCTCTACACAACTCAGATAATCTTTCAAGTGCCGCCATTGAGGTAAACTCTTATCTCGTTTTATACGAGAGTTTGCTGGCCGCGGTCCGTTATATCAGAGTGCTGTAGAGCAACATCGGCTGAACTACAGTTGTGTAACACTAGAGCATGAGATCAGGGGATAGGCCCCCCATATGGTTCCCAGCATACTTTTGCATTTCCTCTACATTTAGCTGCCACATATAAATTATTCCCAGGCTTTAGGTGCTGCTTTTGATTTATAGTTTCTCCCCGTTGAGCCTCGTGGGTCTCCACGAGGGGATTTTGTACAGTATTGCACCATGGGACCCAAGTGGTATTCACTGTGTTTTATATTTTTTTTTACCACAAAGTTTTTATTCCCTTAACTATGCGCGTTGCCAACTACATGCATTTTTGCACTCATTTATTGGTTTTGCTTTCCCAAAAGGAAAAACCTATTTTTACTACGTTTTTTAATTGTTTTCCGCTACACAATGCTTTGATTATACATTTTCCTGTCCTTTCACTTAGATGGCCACAGCAACAGTTGCATTTAATGTGATTTTTGGATAAGTTACAATTTTAATTAAAATTTCTATAAGGTCGTTTTGGTCAACAAAAAAAAAAAAAAAAAAAAAAAAAAACGAACAGCACAAAAGCATATGCATGAAAGACACAAAGACTGCAAATCTATGTATGTATGCACGCATGTATGTGTGAGTTTGTAACAACAGTACAATGATATGCTGTTATAATGTCATAGAATATGTGCACATACTCGTGGGTGTGCACAGGATGACATAGATTTTGGATAGAATATTGCATGTCAGATAAAGATTCACTTATTCTCGAGCAATAAAGAACAAACAAAAAAATGGAAAAATATTTTAAGTCTCGCATACATATCAGAGTATAAGTGGAGTCTAAACAGGATATAAGCTTTTTTGGAGTCTTAAATTTCTTATTAGAAATTTCATGACCAAAAATTTACAAAACTTTATACCTATAATAATGTGAACTTTTGTTGGTGTGAAAAGGTGTCGAAACGTTGCAAGGATTAAGGCAGGTTTGTATAAGTAAACAGTTGTCAGATTGCATGTGAGTTGCTGGCAAATGAAAAGCTTTAGAATGGCCTTGGGGTTTAATTTTCACATTTTTTTTTAGGAAAATATGTTTAAAAAATTGCTTTTCTGAAATTTTCATGCCTATGGCTTTTGAGTTATGGGGTATACAGATATTAAAGCATTATAAATATGTACATATATCCAGTTAATGCTGGGAGTCTACTTTCGAAAAAGAAAGAAAAGGCTATCAAGCTTAAAGAAATAGTTCACAAAAGCTCTCTTTCTTTTCTTCTTTGCTCCTATGGGCTAAAGTAAAAGTAGAAAAACATTTAATAAAGTAGAAAACATTTAAAAGTAAATTTTTACCACGCTTAAAATAAGCTTTCATAATTGTTCAATTATTATTTCTTGTTTTCAAAAAAAAAAATAATCAATTAACTTCTTATCTACCTGAAAAGCATGGCTTAGTTTTTGAAATTATTATTTTTGTGTCAAAAGTTGCATTCATATTTCTGTACGTAGCTTATTTTAATTTGATTTCATGATATTTATTTATTATTTATATTATTTTTATTATATTATTTATTTATTTATATTTTTTTGAAAAAAAAAAACAGATTTTTTTAAAAATTGTTTAGTTGAAAATTCGTAAGGAGTTGAGTTAAATAATATAAGTTTCTAAATTAATTTTCTCAACAAAGCTGCCACAATTATCACATCAAGCTTTCAATAATTTTTTTATTAAGCCTTAAAATCATCATTACTATTTCTTTTCCAATTAAAATTAATTTAGTGAAACTTCGCTGAGTTTTTTTATCATTTAATTTGTAAATCAAAACTTTCACAATTTTCAGATTTTTTCATAATTGTTTAGTCAAACATTACTGAGCTTTTCATCATTTTATTATTAATTATTCAGCGAAGCTTTGACAAGTTTCATATAGAGCTTTCATTGAATTTTTTTTATTACTTTAAAACCATTATTGATAATTTTTTTTTTAAATTTATTTTTAGTCCAACTTCACTGAGGTTTTTATCGTTTTATTATTAAAGTTTTCACAGCTTTTATATAATTACAACTTTTTTGATGTTTTAATTATTTTTCGCAATTATTAAAAAAAGTTATCAAAAGCTTTCAACATTTTTAGTAAGAGCTTTCATTGTAATATCAAAAAATAATAAATAATACACTTTTGAAAACCTAAAAATACAAAAATTTGGTATTATTATTATTATTAGTTAGAGTTCTCACTATTCTCACTTGAGCTTTCACATAGTATTTTGAACAGTAATTATTATTTTAAAGCATTACTATTTTTTCTTCAAAACTAAACTCAAACGACCTACTATACATCCGTAAGGCATTTCAAACTTTTCGCACCTCCCTCTCACTTCTTATGCTCACCCTCTTTTCTCACGTTTCTTTCAAAAACATAAAAAGGGTTGTAAAGTGCGATAAGTTTTCTAACATTACTTACTATATGTAAATATGTATATAAAGCCAATTGCATATTTTCAAATTACTCGAATAGTCACTGTTGGAGAGAGATGGAGAGGGAGCTAGAGAGAATGTGGATTAAATTGGCTTATACTCGTAGTATAATAATTTAACTCAAGCACTTGGTTTTAATAGTATTTTCAAACTGCTAAATTTTGTACAGAAATTTCCAAGTGAAACATATGTACGTGTTATATACTAAAATACTTGAAAGTCTTTGAAAGTTTATTTTAACATTTAGGCAAAGTTACTTAGTTTGCTGAAATTTTGTTAGATAACCTTTTTTCTAAAATAATGTGTGAAATCTAGACAATGGAGAGAGTTTAAAAGTTAGAAAATTATTATATTAAAAGCTCTCTTGAAATCTAAATGTGGGTATGTAAATAGGTGAATCATTATGAATAAATAAAAAAGTGTGAAAAGATGTTTGAGTTTCAAGCTTTCTTACCCTTGATTTTGTGTTTTACCTAAAATTAAAATGTTTTTCAGGATTTGTATATCTTTTCTGCAAAGCTTTTTTTTGAAATGGAGAAAAAAAATATATTAACTGCTCAAGTCACTGATGTTCGTACCCTGTGATATCTGAAGGTTGGGCACACCAAATTTAAATGGAGCCTTCAGGAAAGTCTTTCGGCATATGAATTTCAGCACAGAATACATTATTAATGCTTGTATTAAATTTTATTTGAATATATGATGAAAAAGTAAAGGAAAGCTTTGAGAGCTTTTATAAAAGTTTATGAAAGGTACGCTATTTCAGTTTGAATTTGGTGTGGGCAAGAGTTTTTTCGAAGTAATATTTAAAAAGGATTACTAGAAACTTTATTCCAGATGAGCTTTTCATGCAAAGCTTACTACTTAGAAATACTTTCTTTGAAAATGTTTTCAAATTTTTCTTTACTATTAAAAGAGAAAGCTCTCATTGCCTTACAGTGGATCTTTCATTCATTTGCAGTGTAGCTTGCACAAAAAAGCGACGTTTTATCTTAAGTCAATAAATAGTGTAAGCTTTAAAGCTTTCATATTTGGGGTCTTTTATCCTTTGAATTACTATAAAACAAAAGAAACATAAGCGGAGTTGAAAAATTAGTATTTTTGAAAAGAGTTGACAAGCATTTTGAGCTCTCATTGTCCGCAACGTTAAAAAATGCTTGTGAAAGCCAAATTATTTTTTTTATATCTCTCAATTACAATTTCTTTCTTCTCTATTGCTTCAACTCACCTTAGCCGCTGCTGCATCCGGACAAATAACATGATGATATGTTATATTTATATAATCTGTATTCGAACATATTGTCAGTGAACGTTTATCCAGCGCTACCAAATCCGTGCCATTCTTTTTTGTCACTTTATCGAGAATTTTCGGATCCTGTTTGCGAAGAGAGAAGAGAGGGAGGAAAATTTTTGGTTAAGAAATGATTAAATTGATTTTTATATAAAATTTATATATATTTATTTAAAATAACTGTAAAAAAATTTTATTTAATTTATTTAATTTTTTTTTAATCTCTTTATAATGTTTTTGATTGTAAACAAAATTTATTTGTTTATTTATTTTTCCTATGTTTTTATTAATTGATACAAAATTTATTTATATTTTTGCCACTATTCTTATTAGTTGTATAAAAAATTTAATTTAAATTTTTTCTTTTTTTAATATTTTAAGTTTTTATTATTTTAGTTTTGCATCTTTCTAAATTTTTATTAATTGAGCTTGAAACATATTTATTTAATTTGCTGTAGTTTTTTCTATTTTTATAATATACGCTTTAGAAAAATTTATTTTATATAATTTTGGATATTGGCTAAACTTGGATTCGTACTCTGGTCTTCAAATTGGCAGAGCGCAGCATAAACTTTTTTGCTATTGCGGCCGACTTTTACATTTTTATTAAATATATAAATAATTTATTTATTTATTTTTCACTTTTTTCCTGAATTATAATTAATTATATACAACTTTTTTTTTATTTATTTTTTTTAAACAATAACTTTCTTTAATTTTTATATCTTTTTGTTCATTACCATTATTACAAAACCTTTTTTATAAAATATTTACTTAAGTTTATATTTTTTTAATTTTTTATGTGTTTTATATTAATTCTATATTTTTTATTTCATTTTATATCTTTTTATTTCTATGCAAATTTTTTTTTATATTATTTAATTTAATAAATACAAATAAAAGAGTAATTTTTTGCATTTTTAATAAAATATATTTATATTAGGAATCTCTCCTCAATTATAGATATATTTGGATATTTCTTCTATATTCTTCTTCTTTCAAAATACAATTTGATATCCCACCAAAACCACAAACTATGCTTACTTAATACATTTGCTCCCATTTCGTGTGGCTTCATCACGTAAAATATATATTATAATACATACATATAACACTTTAGTGTACACTCTCTTTTCTATCCACCACTTTTAAATAAGTTTTCATCAACTAGAGGAGTCTCTCCTCCTCTCAGTGCAGCCACACAAATATTTGTTATTGTCTGAATAAATATTTTACTTTTACGTTCAAGTTTCATACTCTCAACATTTCGTTTGAAATCACTTACATATTCACATTCATCCATCATTATTTTACACACACCAGCTATGTATAAGTGTATACCGTTAGATGCTCACTGTACTTTATGCTCGTACTTTCAAATTCATCTCGGCATTACTTTGGCTGACTGCTGGCGATAACTTAATAACTTTGCTTGAATAACGGTAAATTTATATGAAGGATTTGTTAGAGTGCGTGAAAATGAGTGAACAACGAGTTGATGAAAGTTTCTTCTTACTTCTTTTTTACTGAGTTGTTGTTTGTTGAAAGTAAACGAAAATATTGCCGTACTAGAGAAAGAGGCGTTGTTAGCTGCTCTCGGAATGAAACTAGAAGTCTTCTTGCTGGCTATTGGTTTTTTCTGCCAGCTCCTCTGCTTTCACAGGCCTGTGTGATCTCCCTTTTTTGAATGAGACAGCGCGTACTTAGGGTTTAATTGTCTGGCATGCTTTCATGCGAAAGCTGCAGTTGGCACCTTGTCAGTTCTTCATCGAGTTGTTTGAATAGCTCGATCGGTTAAACTTCGGATTTTCCAACACCCTGCTGTTCTTCAGGCAGGCAATTGCTATTCGGACGTCATCATAATGGAGTAGTGTAACGTCCATAAACTCATTACACTCTGTACATCAGCAGATATTTACTTGAGGTTGAATCTCCATCTAGGCTCATCACAATTCATTTAGTATCATAGATAAGAACCGCTCGACAAGACGGAGTATACCAAGGTTTCAAACGCCATTCACCAAGAGTCTGTCAACGCCTTCATGAACTCTTTTCCTTCGAATGGTATTCTCGGATTCCAAGCACAACCTACGGCAGACGAAGAGTTGTAGTTGCTTCGAAAGACTGAAGAAATTCTAGCACAATGCAAATTTGGATATTCTAGTCAACTTAATTTTTACCTATCTGGACTTCAGCCCGACATACCTAACGTTCGTCTTGCGTGCAATGAGACACTGCACGATACTAAGCATCGTTTGCATGCCACCTTCTCTTTTGGTCGAAACCCGTTAAAACAGCTCATTTTCTTAATCTCCCGTTAGATGGCCTATTTACCATAAAGAGGCTGATGAGCCGCAATAACAACAACAACAATTTGGCGAGGAGTGGAGGTTAAGTAGAAAACTCAGTCTGTCTATAGTGATTGAAACACTTCGACGTCGAGTCTTACTGGTAATTGTTGATGGGCGTTTCTTTTACCAACAAGATAGTAGTACGCGTTGATGCTAGATCCTGGGAACGTCCACATTGGACGACATGCCTATCAGAGCATTATCGATTTTGTTGCGCGATTTTCGAACCGAAATCAGCAAAGTTTCTTAAAGGATTTTTTTGTGTGGAAATTCGTAGTCCCAGACACACGCTTTGCGGGGTCTGCGAGAGGTTGATTAGTCTGAACTTGTTTGGAAGATTTTTTCACCATAGAGGCAGAATTTACCGAATGTTGTATCGAAGATATCTTCTTTGACATCCTCTTCCCCTAAAGTCATCAAGAACAATCGAGACGGAGGCAGCGATAATGACTACGTTCCAGGCACTCTCATACATACATATTTTTCTAGACAATTTGTGTTAAGAAAATTCTTTCCTTCGCTTCAAATATATTTACACTTTAATTCAGTAAAGAGCTACTGCTTCACTGATTGACACTTGATATATATGAATTTATATTCAATTGGCAGTTATGTCTAAGTAAATATATATATGCAACTGTGTAATTGTGTCAAGAGTGTTCGTTGTTAGCTGTGATTCGGAACCGGGTATTGCCGTATATAAGTGAAAGTTGGGAAATTAAATTTTAAATTTGTAATTTCCTTTGCAACATGGACACAATTCATACAAACAAACATATTATATATACATATATACCCATGCGGAATTGAATGACAGATATTACCGCTAACAACGGTAGTAAATGACAACATTAGGTAATGCAGTGGGTATAAGGCATTGGTATACATTATTGGCAACGCGCTGCTGAGAGGGAGTGTGAAGACGAAATGTAGTGTGAAACTGTAAGGGAGTGAGTGTAGATGGTTGGCAATACTATACGTCATGCAATTGTGCTTAGTAATTGTGCACTCGTATGCTGTGTTTGTTATGTTGGACGCGCGTAAATTAATTTTTGACAGTTTTCCACTACTAACCCAATGGAGCGAAATGTTTTCGTCTGCTTGCCGACACAACAACAGCGTCGTGTAATTGAGTTGTCAGCTTTAATGGAAATTTGCTAATTGTGAATTTTATGACAAACATACATATTGCTTTATGCACATACAAATGTGTACATTTTTATATATGTATGTGCCTCTTGATGGACCATAAAAAGCACACAAGTAATATGAAGCTAAAATAATTTCAAAATTTGCAATTGAAATTTTTTTTGCACTTGCGTTTGAGCAAGAAATTTAATTAACTGGCAACAAGTGGGGGAAAGTAAATACAAGAGGACGAAAAATAAAATTTTCTACACACTTTTCTATACAAATCATTGAGGACGTTACATTTGGTTAAGCACTTGGCTTTCTTCATTAGTACACACACGCACATATATACATTTTCGTATATGGTAACAAATAAATTGTAAATCAATTTTTGGACTACTTATTGCACTCAAACCATCCACCCTTAATTTTTATCTACCTTTTCCACTTTTATTTTTTACTTAACCCGCCCTGCCAAGCAACGGCAAGCTTTGTCGAAGGTCAAAGTTGACACTGACATGTTTGATAGTTTTAATTGGTTGTATATATGAGAAAGGTCAATTGGGTATATGCTCGTACATGTATTGTAACTATTTAATTTGTTGAATGAGTGAAATGGTTGAATGCTTGGACAGGTGAATGGTTTTACAGTTGGTAATTAATTGGAAAACAAAAATTGAATTGAAAAGGGAAGACAAAAAAAAAACACAATCAGCAAAAGTTAAATAATTACAAATAAAACGAAAATTGAACAACAAAGTTGGAAATACTGAAAAAGTGTACTTGTGAAACAGTAATTAAATTGAATTGATGTAGTACAAAAACTATATGTGATTGGCAACGCATAACTATAAAGAAAATATATTGCAAAGAAATTAAGTTGAATTTCGGTGCAGAAGGTGAATTTTAAGGTACAACAAATGTAAAAATTGAGAAAATGTGGAGAATAAAAATAAAAATAATGAAAGTAGTAAAAAGAAACGAATAAAAATTGGAAGAAATAAAAAGATATAAAATACAAATCTGGAGAGCTCATGGTCACGAGTACAGGTACAGAGAGCCAATTCCGCTGGCAGCAATCAACTATTAAATACAGATGATTCAAAACTTGACCGTAAGTTAGGTGGATCCCATTGAACAATAAAACACGTTTGAACCAAATTTTCATATAAAGAAATCTTTGTTTTTAATGACAACTAGCCAGCGCAGACATTTCCAGAAGATATCAATAGTATATTATAGCAAACTGTAAATAATTTAGAAATACAAAAGATCACATCAAGGTGACAGTTAAGCTTTTCAGCCGCAATTAGAAGAAAATTTGTTCGGAATGGATGTAGAAGAAGTCGTATGAAAAACAACAATAGAATGCAAACTAGTTTCCTCGCACCTGCAGTGTTTTAAACTGTTAAACAGAAAGTTTTGTCAAAAACTAATTTAATTAAACTAAAGCAACAAAGCGTGCTTTTCTAAGAAAATTCCACCTAAAAAATATTGAAAAATCACGCCCTTCTTCTTAAGCAGAAAACTTTTGCTTCAACAAATTTGCAATTCACAGCTCATCAAGCGCCCAACAGCTGCAGCCCTGCTTACAAATAGAGC